GCTGCTTCTGTTGCTGGTGCTGCTAGTCCTGCTGCTGCTGCTGCTAGTCCTGCTGCTGCAACTGGTACTGCAAGCCTCCAAAACGTACCCTTCGCCACACCGAAACACCATGGCCCTGAAGGACGAACTAGTCCGAGAAGCGCACCCAAAAAGTGTCTAACGTTGCGTCTGAAACTCTAGAAAAAGAACAGAAAATCGGTGTTCAGACACGGCCAAACGGTGCTGCTGCTGCTGCTACTGCTGCTGCTGCTGCTGGTGCTGCTAGTCCTGCTGCTGCAACTGGTGCTGCAAGCCTCCAAAACGTACCCTTCGCCACACCGAAACACCATGGTCACGAACTAGTCCGAGAAGCTGCCCAAAAAAGTGTCTAACGTTGCTTCTGAAACCCTAGAAACAAAACAGAAAATCGGCGCTCAGATACGGCCAAACGGTGCTGCTGCTGCTATTGCTGCTGCTGCTGCTACTGCTGCTGCTGCTGCTGGTGCTGCTAGTCCTGCTGCTGCAACTGGTGCTGCAGACCTCCAAAACGTACCCTTCGCCACACCGAAACACCATGGCCCTGAAGGACGAACTAGTCCGAGAAGCGCACCCAAAAAGTGTCTAACGTTGCTTCTGAAACCCTAGAAACAGAACAGAAAATCGGCACTCAGACACGGCCAAACGGTGCTGCTGCTGCTGTTGCTGCTGCTACTGCTGCTGCTGCTGCTAGTGCTGCTAGTCCTGCTGCTGCAACTGGTGCTGCAGGCCTCCAAAACGTACCCTTCGCCACACCGAAACACCATGGCCCTGAAGGACGAACTAGTCCGAGAAGCGCACCCAAAAAGTGTCTAACGTTGCGTCTGAAACTCTAGAAACAGAACAGAAAATCGGTGCTCAGACACGGCCAAACGATGCTGCTGCTGCTGTTGCTGGTGCTGCTAGTCCTGCTGCTGCACCTGGTACTGCAGGCCTCCAAAACGTACCCATCGCCACATCGAAACACCATGGCGCTGAAGGACGAACTAGTCCGAGAAGCGCACCCAAAAAATGTCCAACGTTGCTTCTGAAACCCTAGAAACAGAACAGAAAATCGGTGTTCAGACACGGCCAAACGAGCTCTTCGCCACACCGAAACACCATGGCCCTGAAGGACGAACTAGTCCGAGAAGCGCACCCAAAAAGTGTCTAACGTTGCGTCTGAAACTCTAGAAACAGAACAGAAAATCGGTGTTCAGACACGGCCAAACGATGCTGCTGCTGCTGTTGCTGGTGCTGCTAGTCCTGCTGCTGCAACTGGTACTGCAATCCTCCAAAACGTACCCTTCGCCACACCGAAACACCATGGCCCTGAAGGACGAACTAGTCCGAGAAGCGCACCCAAAAAGTGTCTAACGTTGCGTCTGAAACTCTAGAAACAGAACAGAAAATCGGTGTTCAGACACGGCCAAACGATGCTGCTGCTGCTGTTGCTGGTGCTGCTAGTCCTGGTGCTGCAACTGGTACTGCAAGCCTCCAAAACGTACCCTTCGCCACACCGAAACACCATGGCCCTGAAGGACGAACTAGTCCGAGAAGCGCACCCAAAAAGTGTCTAACGTTGCGTCTGAAACTCTAGAAACAGAACAGAAAATCGGCACTCAGACACGGCCAAACGGTGCTGCTGCTGCTGCTGCTGCTAGTCCTGCTGCTGCAACTGGTGCTGCAGGCCTCCAAAACGTACCCTTCGCCACACCAAAACACCATGGCCCTGAAGGACGAACTAGTCCGAGAAGCGCACCCAAAAAGTGTCTAACGTTGCTTCTGAAACCCTAGAAACAGAACAGAAAATCGGCACTCAGATACGGCCAAACGGTGCTGCTGCTGCTGCTATTGCTGCTGCTGCTGCTGCTGCTGCTGCTGGTGCTGCTAGTCCTGCTGCTGCAACTGGTGCTGCAGACCTCCAAAACGTACCCTTCGCCACACCGAAACACCATGGCCCTGAAGGACGAACTAGTCCGAGAAGCGCACCCAAAAAGTGTCTAACGTTGCGTCTGAAACTCTAGAAACAGAACAGAAAATCGGTGCTCAGACACGGCCAAACGATGCTGCTGCTGCTGTTGCTGGTGCTGCTAGTCCTGCTGCTGCAACTGGTACTGCAGGCCTCCAAAACGTACCCATCGCCACATCGAAACACCATGGCGCTGAAGGACGAACTAGTCCGAGAAGCGCACCCAAAAAATGTCCAACGTTGCTTCTGAAACCCTAGAAACAGAACAGAAAATCGGTGCTCAGACACGGCCAAACGAGCTCTTCGCCACACCGAAACACCATGGCCCTGAAGGACGAACTAGTCCGAGAAGCGCACCCAAAAAATGTCTAACGTTGCTTCTGAAACCCTAGAAACAAAATAGAAAATCGGGCTCAGACACGGCCAAACGGTGCTGCTGCTGCTGCTGCTGCTGCTGCTGCTGGTGCTGCTAGTCCTGCTGCTGCAACTGGTGCTGCAAGCCTCCAAAACGTACCCTTCGCCACACCGAAACACCATGGTCCTGAAGGACGAACTAGTCCGAGAAGCTGACCAAAAAAGTGTCTAACGTTGCTTCTGAAACCCTAGAAACAAAACAGAAAATCGGCGCTCAGATACGGCCAAACGGTGCTGCTGCTGCTATTGCTGCTGCTGCTGCTGCTACTGCTGCTGCTGCTGGTGCTGCTAGTCCTGCTGCTGCAACTGGTGCTGCAGGCCTCCAAAACGTACCCTTCGCCGCACCGAAACACCATGGCCCTGAAGGACGAACTAGTCCGAGAAGCGCACCCAAAAAGTGTCTCACGTTGCTTCTGAAACCCTAGAAACAGAACAGAAAATCGGCACTCAGACACGGCCAAACGGTGCTGCTGCTGCTGCTGTTGCTGCTGCTGCTATTGCTGCTACTGCTGCTAGTGCTGCTAGTGCTGCAGGCTGCAGGCCTCTAAAACGGACCCTTTGCCACACCGAAACACCATGGCCCTGAAGGACGAACTAGTCCGAGAAGCCCACCCAAAAAATGTCTAACGTTGCTTCTGAAACCCTAGAAAGAAAATAGAAAATCGGCGCTCAGACACGGCCAAACGGTGCTGCTGCTGGTGCTGCTAGTCCTGCTGCTGCAACTGGTGCTGCAGGCCTCCAAAACGTACCCTTCGCATCCCTTCGCCACACCGAAACACCATGGCCCTGAAGGACGAACTAGTCCGAGAAGCCCACCAAAAAAATGTCTAACGTTGCTTCTGAAACCCTAGAAACAAAACAGAAAATCGGCGCTCAGACGGCCAAACGGTGCTGCTGCTGCTATTGCTGCTGCTGCTACTGCTGCTGCTGCTGCTCCTGCTAGTCCTGCTGCGGGGAAATACCAAGGCCCTAAAGGACGAACTAGTATAAAAGTCATCCGAAACAGCAAAACACCACCGAATTTCGTGCCGAAAATAACGCCAAATCGCAGCAACAAACTGCCTAACGTCCCTTCTGAAATCCTAAAGAATCCATATAATCCCAGAACAGATCAGGGCGGGAAGGGCAACCCAAGGAGCCCCACGTACCTCGAGGAGACTCCGGGAAGGACCCCCCCACCGGTGAAACAAAAACCCCGGAGTCAAGGAATCGACGTACGTGACCGGTGGGAGGGGGACCCAGCAGGGTCCCCCGGCAAAGGGTCATTGTTTGTTGTTGTTGTTGTTGTTTCTTGTTGTTTGTTGTTGTTTGGCGTTGATTGTTACTGTTGTTGGTTTTTGTTTGGGTTTATATGTTTGTCTTTGTGGTTGTTGTTGTTCTTGTTCTTGTTGTTGTTCGTGTTGTTCTTGTTATTGTTCTTCTTCTTGTTGTTGTTGTTGTCGTTGTTGTTGTTGTTGTTGTTGTTGTTCTTGTTGTTGTTGTTGTTGTTGTTGTTGTTGTTGTTGTTGTTGTTGTTGTTGTTGTCGTTGTCGTCGTTGTTGTTGTTGTTGTTGTTGTTGTTGTTGTTGTTGTTGTTGTTGTTGTTGTTGTTGTTACGTGACATACCCTTCGCCACACCGAAACACCATGCATGGCGCTGAAGGACGAACTAGTCCGAGAAGCGCACCCAAAAAATGTCTAACGTTGCTTCTGAAACCCTAGAAACAGAACAGAAAATCGGTGCTCAGACACGGCCAAACGGACCCTTTGCCACACCGAAACACCATGGCCCTGAAGGACGAACTAGTCCGAGAAGCGGACCCAAAAAATGTCTAACGTTGCTTCTGAAACCCTAGAAAGAAAATAGAAAATCGGCGCTCAGACACGGCCAAACGGTGCTGCTGCTGGTGCTGCTAGTCCTGCTGCTGCAACTGGTGCTGCAGGCCTCCAAAACGCACCCTTCGCCACACCGAAACACCATGGCCCTGAAGGACGAACTAGTCCGAGAGGCCCACCAAAAAAGTGTCTAACGTTGCGTCTGAAACCCTAGAAACAAAACAGAAAATCGGCGCTCAGACGGCCAAACGGTGCTGCTGCTGCGTGTTGTTCTTGTTATTGTTCTTCTTCTTGTTGTTGTTGTTGTCGTTGTTGTTGTTGTTGTTGTTGTTCTTGTTGTTGTTGTTGTTGTTACGTGACCGGTGGGAAGGGGACCCCTTTTCTTCCATCTTCTTCCCTTACGCGCTCCCCCTTGCATCGGCCGGGGTCGGCGGATAATTACTGAGCTGAGTAGAGGTCTAGGAGATGAAACTTGCATAGTAATTACTATGACTGGACCTATCTCATCCAAGATTTGCAAATCATAGCCACAGCACTGCTTCTGTGTTTTGCTCTGTAGTTCGAAAAAAGAAGAGATTCCAGCAATGGTTCCAGCACAACACAGAATACAACATGGTTACCCTCCGGTAATCAAACAGGGCAACCGAAAATCATGGAAATTCCCCATTTAGTTCGATGATTTTCCCATTAATCCTCCATTTATGGGCATTTTCCCATGAATTTCCATGATTTTCCCCTTAAAACCAGCACTTAGTTGGTGATTTCCGAGGGCATGGCACATCCACTGCGGTGAACCCGCCGAGCAATGACCACACCGGACAAAGCGCCGGAATTACCAGGTGGTTTCGAGTGACGTGTCTGACAAATTGCAGCCACCTCAAAACGAATGGAATCCACATAACAGCAGTTGCCAACAATACATACATACCTACCTACATACATGCGTACGTACGTACATACATACATACATACATACATACATACATGCGTACGTACGTACATACATGCATGCATGCAGTACATACATACCTACCTACCTACCTACATACATACATACATACATACATGCGTACGTACGTACATACATGCATGCATGCAGTACATACATACCTACCTACCTACCTACCTACATACATACATACATGCGTACGTACGTACATACATGCATGCATGCAGTACATACATACCTACCTACCTACCTACATACATACATACATACATACATGCGTACGTACGTACATACATGCATGCATACATACATACATGCGTACGTACGTACATACATGCATGCATACAGTACATACATACCTACCTACATACATACATATATACATGCATGCATGCATGCATGCATGCATGCATGCAGTACATACATACATACATCCATACATGCATACATACATGCATGCATACATACATACATACATACATACATACATACATCATACATACATACATACATACATACATACATACATACATACATACATACATACATACATACATACATACATACATACATACATACATACATGCATGCACGCATGCATGCATACATACATGCATGCATGCACGCATGCATGCATATGCATGCATACATGCATACATGCATACATGCATACATGCATACATGCATACATGCATACATGCATACATGCATACATGCATACATGCATACATGCATACAGCACAGCATACATGCATACATGCATACATGCATACATGCATACATGCATACATGCATACATGCGTACATGCATACATGCATACATGCATACATGCATACATGCATACATGCATACATGCATACATGCATACATGCATACATGCATACATGCATACATGCGTACATGCATACAGACAGACATACATGCATACATGCATACATGCATACATGCATACATGCATACATGCATACATGCATACATGCATACAGACAGACATACATGCATACATGCATACATGCATACATGCATACATGCATACATGCATACAGACAGACATACATGCATACATGCATGCATGCATGCATGCATGCATACATCCATACATACATACATGCATACACACACATATATATATCATATTTTATATGTTATAATAATATAGTATCATATGTGTGTATATATATATATTATACATGATTGCATATGTCTCAGTACATAAGAACAAGTAGGAACGAAAAAAGAAGGAACACTTGGAAGTGCAAACCGTCAAGACATGAATGCGCAACTTGGAGGCGTGGGAAGGGCGGATGCTGCAGCAAAGATTCGGCGCAACCGGCCGCATCCTTTGCTGGATTACGAGGCTCCACCAAAACTGCAGATACTGGACATCTACAGCATAGGTCATAGGTTTGTCTGAAAAGCCCAAATTTGATGCTTGATCATCATTTCCCCCAAAATTTTAAACGGTGATTTTGGGGCTATCCCCCATCTTGCCCCATTTTGGAAGAACGCCGCAGCGGTTTGTTTCCGCGCGGCCGTTGCACCGAGTCTTGGGCCGAGTCACAGGCCTCGGACGTGGCTGCTAACGAAGCTGTTGCGGCGTGCCCAAGCTGCACTTTCTTCCTCCAACTTTGGATGACCCTCTGGTAAACTAACATAGCTATTGAAAATGGCCATAGAAATAGTGGATTTTCCCATTGAAAATGGTGATTTTCCATAGCTACGTGAAATTACCAGAGGGTACCATAAATTACCCTCCAGTCATCCAACATGGGAAATCATGGAAATCCCCGAAGCAGTCCTGGCTGGAGGTTTCGTTCGCTGGGAAACATCGAAGTAAATGGAGGATTTTCCACCGAGGTATGCAGCGGCAGTTGGATTACCGAAGGACCTGAAGATACTGCAGAATCAAAGATGGCTCTGTTTGAGGCAGACATTCATAGAACTGGATGATGGGAAAATTTACAGGAAAACCCTTCAAATTTGATGCTAAAAACCCATGGGTTTCCTGTAGATTTTCCCTTAAACCAATCCATTGAGACATGGAAAATATGTTGGCGCTTTGTTGCTGCTTATCTACCAGATCATCTTGTTTCAGGAGTTTGCTAATGCAAAAAGCTTGCCGCCGGTATCCGAGTGGTGGTGGATTAACACGTTCCAAATTGTTGACCAGCCTAAAGTGCCATATAGTGGGTTTTTGAGCTTTTTTTGTTCCCAGGTCTTCGCTCAACAACAAGTTGTGGCAGACGCGATCTTTTGTGACTTGGCAAAAACATGTGTGGCTGACAGGTGGCTGGTAGCTGTCACATCTGTCACCGTGACCACTGAGGCTGCCAGCATGGCAGAGGTGCGTGCCAGTTTCACATGACAGCTGCACTATGTCTATTGGAAGCCGATGTCATGTGAAACCAATGCTAATTGCAACAATCAACAGTTTATTAGAATATATATATATATATATATATATATTAGCCAATGACATTTGTTCGAACAAACCTAGCAGACTTGAATAAACCCATCCCAGAAAGAAGAGAGAGAGAGAGGGAGCCTGTCAGGTGTTGTACGAGGAGGCAGTCGGCATGTGATCTCGGGGCCATCCTGTGGCTATGGGTCAAAATCGGCTACAGAATGGAATGGGACAGTGTAGTGCCTGTCTGATGGCCCTAAAATTTGACCCATACCATCCCATACCCATTGAGAGTCAGAGTTGGTTACAAGCAATCTAACAAAGTCCTTGGGAGGTCAGTTCAGAACGTGGATCGCCCCAGATGCACAGAAAAGGCGCGGGTTGGCCTTTTCCCAGTTTTTGTCGTGGCTGTCTCGCCGGAGATTTCAAGCAGCCAGGCAGGTGCCTCTCCGATGAATCGCTACCTTGTCCGCTGGGAAGGACTGGTTTTATGCGGATTCCATAGAAACTCTCGATGTGTCTGAAACTTGGGGATTGAAATGGATTGTCATAGAAATGGATGATGGGAAAATTTACAGGAAAGCCCTATATTTGATGGTAAAAATCCATGGGTTTTTCCTGTAGATTTTCCCAACAAAACCAACCCAATGAGATTGTTTGCCCCCAATTTACGGCAACTCATCCACATCGAAAGTGATGATTACCAGTGGATGGCAACCAAATGGTTCAAGTGGCTATTCCGACTCTCAGAGGTCGCACGTCATGAGAAAACATCAGGAGTCCACCCTTGTCGCTGGGCCCACAGACTCCGAAAAAACCTGAAGATCCAGCCGCGCATTGATAGGTTTCATGATGTTTTTTGAGTTGAATCCCAAGTTCTCCATGTTTTTTGCCCAAGGCCCTCTGGAGGTGTAGCCGCCACAGGCCCGAGTCTGACTGGCCATGTTCACGCTGCACAAAGATGGCACTGCGATTTCTCAGGTGAAGACTTTGTGCTGCACGATGCGCTACACGTGGGCCCTCTGGACATTGCATCATCCATTGGTCGCTGCCCAAGTGCCGCTGGGTGCCGCTGGTCTCGGTTTTGGCCTTTCTTTTTGAGTGCAAAGGTGGTGCAGACCCAGCTGTGGTGTACGTGAGGCATGGCAGGGAACATCAGGGAACTGTGTGAGATGTGAGCCACGGAGATATCGGAGATATCAAATACTCAGCATATTTAACTACTCAACATTACTCAACTTTGGCGCCCAAGAAGCGAAAACTTGGTCTTGCAGCGAACAAAATCAACACCAAGAGCGACTCCAAGTTGCCAGGCTGTCCAACTTCGCGGCACGGCGACGAGGTTGCCTGCGGCTGCATCAAGAGGCGGAAGAGGAGGACTTGGACCTGGAACCGTTTTCGTTTGACTCTCAGGGAGCCCAGCCCATGCCATGCTTGGCACATCTTGGCACAGCCACGGTCTAAGGCCAGTTCTTCATCCTTGCAACGGCAGCGACCTGGATCCATTGAGACCTTGTTTTGCCCAAGCAGCAAGTGGTTGCGAGGTGATGTCAAAATTCAAGACCCAAGAAACAACAGGGTTTGCATGTTTTTGCTGATTTTTCGGACTACATTCCACGTCATTCCACCCATTTTTGGGGGTCTGAAAAATTTCGACCCATCCCATGCCATCCCCAGATGGAAGCGGCTTTGAAGCCCGGCGGAAGCGGCGGCGCAGCCGATCTGGGAGCGACTTCTCACAAACCTCCTCCACCTATGGAAGCTCGCCAAATCTGCAGGCCGCCAGATTAGCAGCCTGGGGTCACTGGGGTCTTCTGGTGGTTTTTATCATCGATTTGGGATGATTTGGCACACATTTTGCCGGTCATGGATTCCCGTTTTGGGAATATACATGAAGAGTAACATCACTGATGGATGGTAAAATGGCTGGGTGATTTTTGAGCGGGACATTTAACGTCACCTTGGGTTTCCTCGCTTCAATTTGCTGCAGTTTGATTTCACTCTTCATGTCTGGAACATGGGGGATCCCCAGTCGTCACCATGGTTGTTTCAGATGTTTCAATACTATCAATACTAAATATACTAAATATACTAGTTATACTAAAATGTTCTAACAGTTTGAAACACGAAGTATGGTTCCCATGGTTGTTCCAATGTTGTTCCAATGTCACCATGGTTGTTCTAAGCCGTGGAGGTCTCGACTGGGCCTGTCCGAGAGGTCTCGGCTGAGTCGACAGGCAAGAGATGGCGATTTTACTGCAGCGAAAGGAGAGGGCCATCTTAAATGAGTGTAAAACAGATTCCAATGATGTATATTGATAGGTCATGACAGTGATAATATGTGATAATAACATTAACAATAACAATAAGATACAATCAATCATATGATATAGTTATATAATGTTATATACACATTCATTTGTTGGCTGATCGACCACGGCGCCGCTTATGTCTCTAGATTTTGCTAGGCCTAGAAGAGCTCAGACCCAAGGACCTGGAGGATTCTGAGAGGCTTCCTGTTGCCGGGTCCGAAAATCCGGGATACCACGGGATACCATGGGTACTTTGAGAAACCGATGATCAGTTATTGATAGTATCATTTTTCGTTATTTTGAGCTTTTGGCTGCTTTTTTTTTTGGGACACCCAACTGGTCTCCTTTTCTCTTGCCAACCCGGCACCAAAAAAAAACCGGAGGTTTCCGCCAAATTTGGCGCTGGAAAGATGCAGCACTTGGAGCGCCTCTGGAAGACCTGCCGCTGGAGAGCCAGAGGAGGAGGAAGCGCCTCGGTGGCCTCGGTGGCCTCAAACGTTCACCGGTGACTGGATCGATGGATCGTGAAACATCGGAAAGGTCATCGATGCAGATCCCCCGAAACCGCTTAAAGCCCGATCCAAAATGTGGTTGGTGGTTTCTATTTCTTTTAGATGTTAAATCAAAACGATCAAAATCCCCTATGACTCTTAGTTATCCCATTGTTTTTTTGATCGGGGAAGGGTCTTATCCCATTTATATTCCATGAAAACATCAATATCCCATTAACATTCATATCCCATCAAGATTCCATCAAGATTTTTCACATATCCCGGATAGCCATCCCATGATTGGATAAAACATCTTCTCATATAAACTTGCTTAGTTACCCTATATAAAGTAAACTAAGATTCGTGGGAATTACCCCTAAGGTAAACTAACATAGATGTGGCTTTCCCCCAGCATTCAGTTTACCAAAAATCCCATCTTCAGGAAACCGCCAGCATCCAGCGGCACCTCGAAACCATGAATGCTGCTGCGGCGGATCTCAATGCTGCGCAGGAGCGTGACCATAAATTTCTGCGACGGTAAAAATGTGGCGTAAATGTTGTTGGATTTTTTTCGGTAGAGTGAGGGTCTGCGATAGCTACTGCAGATATTCTGATATTTCTATACGTTCATGAACATTTGGAGTAATTTATATTACTTATTATTGATGTCTATGGGCTAAACGATTGGGTAATTAGATTTATGTAATTGGGGAGATGAACATTTGGGAGATTGATGTTGATGTAATTTATGTAATTTATTTATATTTATTATGTATTCTGAAATGTTGATTTTGGGATCTCATTACAAAATCTCATCGTTGCTGTGCCATGTCAAGCCCTGCCAGGAGTCCCTCAATGCTTGCCTGAAACGTCAGCGCTCACTGATCCAGCTATGGGCGGTTGTCAATGCCCCTTGGCAGCACCATTTCTGTGCTCGCTGCATGAACTAAAGACGTTTGTAATGTCTGGATTTTTTAAATGAACTTGTGGTGAACTGCATGCTTGGCAGCTTACATCTCATCATGGTTGTACATTGACTTACATACATATAATACATTGTATAATCATATACAATTACATGTAATTACATACATACAATGATACACATTTACATGCATATAATACATACAATGATACACATATATATATATATACAGACATATAATACATAATGACAGTGCTTGTCCCAGCGCCAGCAAAGGCAAGACTTGCAAGAGCTGTGGGCTCTAATCACATCGCCAAGGCTTTGGAAACGAAACACCAACTGAGCAGGCTTCAACCTGCAATTTGTTCTGAAAGCGTTTATGTCTCCCAAACAATTTGCAAAGCGATTCTACATGGGGGTTTGCTACAATTGGGTACTGGGTACCCCCAAATCATGATTTTAACAGGATTTCCACCATAAACCATCCATTTTGGGGTACCCACCCATTTTAGGTAACCTCTACATTGCTTTGCATCGTTTGTTAGTTGTCTTCGTCGCAGTGGCTCATTCCCCAGCTCCGTGCGGAGCAGCAACTTTCAGATCACTTGGGGCAAATTGCCAGCTGAGAACCTCAATGACCCAGGTAAGCAAATCACAGAACGCAAGTTGATTTCATTGTGCAATACATAGATAGTCCTTTAACGACAACATAAACACTGCGAACAACTTCGGGGCGTCACTAAGAGTTGCAGCGCATGTGCGAAGAGGACATGGCCGTGCCAACCTGAGGCTACTCTCAGTCTTTGCGCATGGGTCGCTCGCGTTCGATTTGCCCAGGCCTGCGCCAGGCGCAGAGTCCGTCCGAGATGACAAGGTCTCGAGGGCGAAGCGGATTCAGTGCAACCTTTTGGCGAAACGGACCATGGCCAGGACTGAGGAGGTTAGAGACCTTTGTCACGAAATCCTGCGACTCTATGGCAACCCCGAGGCGGGATCGAATGAAGAGCTGCATCTGGATGGGTCAAAGAAGATTGCAGCATGGATTGATGCTGAATGATGGACTTTTCATGGCCTTGCTACAAGTCGCAGCAATATTGCCTCAAGTAAACTGGACACCAGCAAATTCCGCTCATTCCTTGTTAGCCATGCCAGCAGTCATGCGGCTTGGATCGCATCCTCCTGATGGAACATGTTGCACAATGTTGCACATATGATTCAGCTGTAAACACCTGGCCTGGATGCCTTTGAGGTCCCGCTTCGGTGGAGTTGCACTCAGGAAGGTGGCAAGAGCCGGGTGACTTCCTCGGAACTCCAACGCTTAGAATGAGCATATTAGAAATACATCTGGGGGTTTCCATAAATGGGGGATACCCCGGCCCAATAGCTATAGATGGTTTCCAATGGAAGATCCCCATCTAAAATAGGGATGATTTGGAGGTACTATGAGGTATCCCCATGGATTGGAAACCCCCATCTCAAGATATACAAAGAGCATAGCTGGCTATGGATGATCTGATCAGGTTTCAGCTGCCTCAAAGCCGCTTCATTGCAGCGGTGGATCCAGTGATTGCTCGCGCGCAGCACGGCATGGATGAAAATGTAGTTGGGTCCACCATGGGTCGACCAAATTCACCGCTATTCCACTAGTGAAGGATCATCTCCCCATGAATTTCGTTGACCGTCAAATGGGGGGATCTGGGGGGCATGCTCCATTTTCAGACGAATCCTCTCCGTGCGGCATTGTGCGTGGCATTCGAGATTCAAGCGCATGAGATTCGGTGATTTATGGAAGTTGAGGAAAAAATGGTTGACCATCGAATTTCCATGGGTTTTTCCCATGTTCTCCATCTTTTTTTTTTCGATTTCCAACATTTTTTCCATGGTTTTTCCACTTCCTCTGTGGGTAAACTGAAGTTTTCAGACGTTTCCCGAGGCGCGAGATGCAGCAGCTGCCATACGATGAGGCCAAGGAGGGAGTCATCAGGGCTCCTGACTACGCAGCGCGGCCGCAGACGTTGAACGCCTTTGGGCCATTGATGTTGACCCATCGACCCACAGGTCATTCTGAGGCAAAAAGTTTAGTCAACCTTCATCAACCTTCCATTTTGGGGAGGTACCACCAGTGGTACTTGTAAACACTCCGGATTTTATTAAGATTCTGCAGAGCTAAAGATGAAGCTTGCAGTTCGAACACAAAGCTTTCAGTTGCCGAATCTTTTAAGGTCGGCTGGGATCAAGAGATTGACACCGACTTCAAGAAGCTCACTGTTGGCCCCATCAAGGGTGGCAGGCCATGTCTTTGGCTGCCCACTTTCGTCGCATTTTGGTCTGACACAAAAAACCTGATCTTCTGAGGCCTTACCAGAAGATTTGCGACTCCGCCCTTGACTTGATTGGCTTCACCCCGCGCCACGGCAGCACTAGGATGCTTCAGAAGTGAGCAATTGGTTGATAATTGCAGGGGATTATACTCTAACCAATGTATTGGGGAATGTCACAATCCATTAAAAGGAATCCCTACCAAACTTACTTTGCGTAACTTTTGAGGATGGTGCGCATGTCGCGCTTGGCAAACTTCTTCGCAAAAGCCTCAGAGCTGTGTTGAAGAACAGCTTGTGCAGTGCTACAGCATGTCACAGCCAGTTCAGGACATGAGATGGTGCGACAGCAATAGACATGACCCAAATGGTTGCTGAACTTATGTTTTTTTTTTTTAAATATAAGGATGTTGATTGCGAAATGGTCGCGAAGGCCAGGTCCTCAGCAGGTCACGGTCGTCACAGCTTTTTCGTCGTCGATCCCATGGCTGGTGAGCTTTCGCAGGTGGAGCTTTTCAACGCCGGAGGCTCTGTGAAGGCACTGGGACCTTGATATCAATTGCTGGAATATCGTTGCTGGTTTGATTCGGATACACCCTTTTCAAGGTAGATGGCTCCGCCCTCTTCCAAAGTGCGCGTATAGATGGCGCCGACTTTTTGAATTTTGACACCCGAAAAGGGCGTGACATCCATCCCCGTTATTTTTGTGGGCCGCGCCATCTATGCCAGAAAATGTTTCAGGGTTGCGCCATCTATGCAATGATTCTTAAGTCCAAAGTTTCCAAGCCTCCATTTCCCTTCTCCTCTCCCTTTGCCCTTAACTTCCCCTTTCTCCTTCCTCCGTTCCCTTTCTCATTCCCTTCCCCCTTTTCCTTTCTCCTTTCCCTTTCACTTTCTTTTTCTCCTCCTTTCCCTTTCCCTTTACAAATGGAACGCGCTGGTAACCTATTGATGGCTCAACCCACAGCTATTTATGGTTTCCCAAAGAAAAATCCTGTTGCCTCCCTTTCGTTTTCTCCTTTCTCTCCTCCTTTCAATGTCCCTGTCCCTTTTTCCTTTTCCCTTGTCCTTTCCCTTTCCCCTTTCTCTGCAAAGATGGTTTGCCAGTGTGTTGAGCCATCTCTCCATGACACAAGCGGATGGCACTGTCCCAGGGGGTTGCGCCATCTATTTAGTAGTGAGAAAAAAAAAACGAGAAAAACTATTGTTGAACACACATCCCCGTTATTTTTTCAACGCTTTGATGACCGAAATGTCCGGTCCCGGAAGAAGGGATTTAAATTAAAAATGGGGTAGATGGCGCAATTTGGCCCATTTTGCACATGTAGGGTTGCGCCATCTTCTGGGCACTTTTGCTGTTTCGGGTACATATCTAAAAAAAAATTCACTGTTAAATAGATGGCGCAACCACCTCTGAAAAAGTAGGTCTGAGCCATGTACTTTGAACCCGGAGTATATGATATATATATATATATCTCTATTATATATACAATTACATTTTTAAAAAATATTCATATATTATATTTATATTATATATATATTGATATTACTTTTACAGTACATATGTGTAAAGTATTTGAAAGTATCATCTTCCTTGAGATGATCGTCCCCTCGAACTCGCACCAGAAAAGCTCCTGGCTCTGTGAAGCCGTCTTTTGTCAGGACCGTATTGCCAAGAGAATGGTTGAGGAGGCTGAGAAGACACTTGGTAGCGCCATGGGTCGACAGAATTGCACCGGAGAGTTTCCACAGACCATGGCAGACCGTGGGAGACTGGCCGTGAATTTGGTGATCTAAGGAGTGGCCGAATTAAGCCTGGTCCGGGTCTCAGTCTTCTTGGTGGTTTGCTTGGTGGTTTGCTTGGTGGTTTTTATTTTGACTTTGCTGCTAGTGATGATCCCAAGATCAGCATAGATCAGCCCCACTCGACCAGGTGACATCCTCATTGAGGCCACCAGCGGCAACACTGGCGTCGGCCTGTGCATGGTCTCTGCCATCAAAGGCCAGTCGTAGCATCGTAGCAGCTGGGATCATTGGACAGCGTGGCCCAGATGGCTTTGTCCTGGGAATTTCAGTGAATTTTATACATATGATGTTGATTTATGTTGATAACTTAAATTCTCCAGATGATATTTAATCCATCTAAGATTTCATAAATGCACCAGATGATAACCCACTTAGGATTTCAAATGCTCCAGATGATAATCCATTTAACATTTCACAAGCTATGAGAAACCATTTGATTTGTACGTCCCATGGGGTTCCCTATTCTGAAAGCGCCAAGTGATGCTGTTTCCAGGCTACAAGCAGATCATCTGCCTGCCAAAGTACCCTGGGCGGAAAGTCCTTTGAACATTTTGAAACGGAGTTGGAAGAGTTGGGACACGTTTTTCACGGTTACACAGTTATCTAAGTTGTATAAGTTACATCAGCATGAACTTGATGAAAAATGGATGAAATCACGTGAAATCCTCCTCTGAATGATGAAATGGCAGTGTGTCAAAACCCTGGTACCCCTGTAGTTCACATCAAAATAGCTGGGATTTATGGATGTTCATCCCACTAAGAATGCTATTAATAGGTATTGATCCATACCCAAATGGATCACATCCCCCCATTTTTGGAGCCCAATGATCCAGTCGAGGAAGATGTCCGGTGAGAAGGTGAACACCATGAAGTGCCTTGGTGCTGAGATCCTCCGAACCCCCACCGAGGCCCCGGTCCGGTTGCATAGGCGGCCATGGGGCCATGTTTTTTTTTTTTTCGGTTCCAATCTATGGCCATTTATGATGGCTGGGGAAAATGATGAAACTTGAGGGTATATGATGGGGTATAATTATCAATGTCTTTCTGTATATCTAATTCAATGTATATATTTTGATGACACACCCTCATTGTTCACAGCAGTTTGTTGGGACCTCTCCATCACCAAGAAAGGGCTGCCACCGTAGGCCGCCTGGGACGCCGAAGACAGCCACATCTTCCTGTCTGCCCGCCTGGCGAAAGACCTCGGCCGGGACCCCACAAGAGAGAGGCGGATGGTGCGAAGAACCAAGACTTGGGCCATTTTTACCCCAGTAAAAATTCGAATTCTCACCAAAAAAAAGGGAGATTTGTATAGATTTCTACAATTTGAGCGAAAAAAAAACAATTTCAGACTGCCTGGCAGTTTCACCATTGATCACCTCAATTTGATCATTGCATCACGACGATTTTTTGGGCCAGGGATCCTTTTTTGGGGGCCCCGAGGTGGTCACGTCCTGGATCAGTACAAGAACCCGGGCAACCCCTTGGCTCACTACGATGGCACTGCCGAGGAGATCGCCGAGCAATGCGAAGGCGGACGGCGTGATGGGGGCACGTTGTAGCCGACCTTGGAAACACTGGGGGATTTCAAGGGGATTTCAGTGATTTAAGAAATTTTAAGAATCAGAACTATCAGAACTGGTGATTGAAGATGGTTTAATCAGTTTAATCATCAAACATTGGTTTAGTTTTATTGGTAGTCCTGGGTAGTTTAACGAGAAAAGATGAGGACTTACCATACTTTATCCAAGCTACTTAGAAATTTGAGAATGGGGGAGAGCTGGGAAAATGAACATCAGCTGGGACTCTTTGTATGGGGTTCCCTGTCTTGAGACAAACCCGATCTACCTGTGGGAGTTTGCTGATTTGGCGCATGGTCTGAGGCAAGTTGGACTACATGATCATGCATCTTGGATGCAATGATGAGACCTGCTTTTGAGATCTTTTGAGATGCTTGCTTTCAGCAACCATTTGCAGAGCAGGTCCACCGGAACAGGTGGCACTATGACCGGAGTTGCCAAGAAGCTCAAGGAGAGCCCGCGGTTGCTGGGTGAGAAAATCAGCCCGCAGTTGTCACATGTCACAGGAACTGATCCCTGGCGTGAAAGTCGTGGGAGTTGATCCCTATGGCAGCATTCTGGTCGAAGCCTAAAACCTGGGACGTTTTTTTGGAGGATAGTGCCACATAGTGCCACTAGACATGGTTTCTAGTTTCGAGGCATTCGCAGAAGATTTGGATGCAAGTTTCAAGACCTTCAGATCAATTTGACGACGATTTTGTCTTGAAATTTCCAGCCCCAAAGCCAGGTGGTTGATCATCATTTTCCGAGAAATTTCGACAGCCCCATTTCGACCGACCGACTTTTCGTCTCGCTTTCAGGCGCAGCCTGAGCAGATGAACGAGAAATCCAACCGCACTGGACAGGAGAAGATCCTCGCAGCAAAAACCGCGTTGCGGTCATGTTGGTCCCAGTTGGTTGGTTTCTTTCTGAATGTAGGCCCTGAACCACGTTTGACAGATCTTTGATCTTTGTAGTTTCTGTTGTCTTTTTTTGCATGTATTGGATATATGACGTGTGGGATCATTTGGGATATTTGGGACATGGATCTGCATTTTCTTCAGCATGTTCAGCTCTGGACTCAGGCTGACTGCCTACCAGGTGGAGGGCATTGGCTTCATGGCAAGAGTTTAGTTTGCCACAGATGATTCTCAGTCTCTGGATGGGTGGCTTTGGTGAAGAATTTGTTCAGTGACATTCAGAACACTTAGGTTACGATTTCATCCCAACCGTGCTTGATCGTGAGATCGTCGACTACTGGGTGCCAGTGGCTGCATCAATCCATGGGTATGGTATATCTGATTCAACGTCGTTTGCAAAGACATATCATGGCTCATCAAGACTCAGGTGTAAGCTTAATCCTAGTATTCCTGTAGTATTCCTGTAGTATTCCTGTAGTATTCCTGTAGTATTCCTGTAGTATTCCTGTAGTATTCCTGTAGTCTAAAAATGTATTTTGTGTCATTTTGTATGTCAGACTCAGACCCTCAACAGCTCAGCTCCAATGCAGCTTGACTTGCCCAGGTGAAGACCGATGATGATGAAGCATTTGCGATGTGCCGAGCCTTGGTTCGTCGCTTGTCAAGGCGAGAACTGTTGTAAACCTTGGATCTTTCTTGTAAGACTCAGGGGGTTCTAAACCATTCTTTTTTTGCGGGGACACGAAAAGTTGACCGCAACTCATTTGGTTGCAGAACAGGCTACCGGTAGGCTACCATGTACATGAAATCTTGATCTTCGATTTGAACATCAGCCGCCAAAAAATGTTTTTTGATGTGCTTAATCACTATGTTCATCATTTTCCCAGGTATTTTCCTGTATTTTTCCACGTTTTCCACATGTAAATGGCTTCAAATGGCCATCCATTGGGGTCCCAGGTCATGAGGGCTTGCTGATCGGTGGCAGCTGTGGCTCCACAGTGGCTGGTGCTTACCGATTCATCAAGGAGAACAAAATTCCTAAGGCGCAGCTGATGCAGTTTGTAACTTTAATCTGTTTTGTATACTATAATATATATATATATATACATATGTACATATTTATATTTGCATATGAATATATACATATACAGATACATGTACATATATACGTATATACATACATTTTTTTTGTATCGATAATATATTCGTCATGTTTTTAATGTATTTCAGCATTTATTACTGCTTCCAGACCAAACCATTCAAATCTGGTGTTTGTTTGCCCACCTGCTCAAAGCATTCTGTTTGCTGTCAGGGCAAGCGATGTGCCGTCCTGTTGGCCGATTCCGCCAGAAATTACATGAGAACTTTGCCTGCAAGCAGTTGATACGAGAAGATCAGTTCATGTAGGGTTGACAGTCTGAAATCTGAACTGACTGAGCACCTCATCCTGCGTCCATGCCTTGGTGCCTTTAGGCAAGTTCATGGATGACGGCTGCTTGGCTTTGAACAGATGTAATTTCGCAGCCCGCTCCAAGTTGAATCAGCAATCAGCAACACAGACCCTTGATGCAAAGAAGCGGCTACACAGGATGGATGCAGGAGAACGGCTTCGACATGGCCAAGATGTCTCTTGCAACAGATTGAGGGTGGTGCAATTACGAATGCCAGACCTTTGACATTTTTCCTTCGCAGTTATGAAGTTGAAATGAGGAAGAAAAATGACCTGGTGCAGAAAAGACATTGAACTAACGCCACTTTCCGATCCTGTTCACTTTCAAAGCAAGCAGATAGTGGTCGAATTCATCAGATTTGTGGTGACATGTCGGGATGGCTATCATGAAGCCAACAAGGACCGCTGCCGTGAACGAGAAGGGCGCCTACGACAAGCTGTTCCATGTTTGAACGGCATTTCTGGCTGCACTTATTCTTCTTCAGTGCGACCAAGTTGACTCTGAAAGTGACAGAGTTTTCGAAACCAGGTGAAAATGAGAATGGCTCAAAGATTGCTCAAAGTATGGAACCCCCAGAACCATCCAAAAACGAGTAGTTTTAGTATGCCTGCCATATGTCATCAGGTACCGTACCCCGGAGTCATTGCCGACGGGCCAAAATTGCTTCACCAAGGACTCAGCACATAATGGATATACCTCACGCTGTGTGGCCTGAGCGGTGTCCATGGTGTCCATTTTCTGTAGCCTGAATAAGGTGAACAGACCAAGGTGAACAGACCAATCCATCCAATCTCAACCTTGAGACAATTTTTTCTGGAGAAAGGGCGAAAAAATGCATGATCCGCTCCACCTGGAACTTGGAACATCTTGGAACTCTGCAAACGAAGCAAGAAGTTTCGGTTTAGAACATCTGTTGCTGTGGAACTGGTTCATGCAAGCTCTTAGATTGAGCAAGTTTGATGAAGCTGCTCAAGACAAATGCATTCATAGACAACGTCTATTCTTGCAGTTTTGTGTCAATCGTTGCTAAGAAGATTCGCAAGCTTGACAGCGGAAGAAAAAGATCTCATGCGTTGCCTGAATCTGTACATGACTGAACGCTTTTGTTGAGGTATGCTCCGACATGCCCAGTGTTGGTACTTCTGCGCAATGCATTGTCTTGTGTTGCTTCATGGTGCTTCCCATCCCATTCTTCTGAAGCTGTGTGAATTGTGGTGACATCAGTGACATCGCAGCGAGTCGGGCTTTTCAGTCGTCGCTTTCTGAAGCTGACCCTGGTCAACCAATTTTTCGCCATGGAGTCGACGCTTCGTTTGAATATTTCCTGTCTAGCTCCCAGCGGCAAAGAGGTTCGCAAGTTGCGGATCGCATTGCCTTCCACTCACACCGTGCAGCAACTCCTCCGAAAGGTAGAGGCACACCCAGAGGCCGAAGGTCGTTCGTTCAAAGACCTCCGACTGAAAGGGTCTGGAGCATATCTTCACATGGAGGATCAATTGAAGGATGTTCTCAGAGTGGAAGAACGTGATTTGGAGGCAGTTCCACTTCAATCCAGAAGTCCTGACGAGCACTGGCTTGTTGACACAGTCCGGCATGCCTATGTTCCAAATGAGAAGTTTCGCGAAGACAAGCACTGCAACTTCTTATCTTGCAGAGTGGGTGCCCGAATGGAGATCCATGGAAGGGCAAATGGCTGGTTTTATTGTGTTGACGATCTCGGTGAAAAAGGTTTCGTCCCTGACTGGGTCTTTGAGGACTCTGATCCTCTCAGTGAGACTGATGAATCTACGACCAGTCCTGCGAGTCCTACGGGTCAAGCTTCTACTCAGGTGAAGGCCGAGAAAGACATGTATGGTGAAGGAGGACGTCTACAGGGACTTGGTGTAGTAGACAGAATCCATGTCAGGACAAGTGGCTATGTGGACAGCATCATCTTGTATATGAAAGATGGTCAAGTGTACCGCTACGGGAAGGGAGGATACCGAGATGCTGAGGTCCTTCTAGGTCGCGATGAGACAATACTGAGCATCACGCAGAAAGAGAAGCAATCACTTGGGGAGATTGTGTTTACCACTTCAAAGCGTGAGCTCGTCTCTGGGGGCTGGTGTGGGACTGGAAAGCAATACAAGCAGAATTTCTTTGAATGTCGTCCTGGTCACCAGATCCATCATTTCGATATTGAAGACTCCGTGCTTTGCGGAATCCACTGGGTCGAAATTCCCAGCAACAAGCGGAAGAATGGCTTGGAGGACAAGGATGGCAATGAACTCCAGCTGCAGCCGAAGATGCGAGCGAAGAAGAGCTCTCGTGTCGGATGAAACTGGAGGAATGTGTCAAATGCAATGCTTATTTGATTGTCATGAATAGTCATGATTCCGATCGTAGAATATTTTAGACAAATTTAACAAGTATCTGAGAAATCTGATCTAGTCAGATGAATTATCCTGGAGAAGCCACAAAGACACATGCAGCCCTCGTTTTTGATGGCGTTCCTGGATGCCCGTATGGACCACAAATGTGAGTCTTGAATCCTCGTGCGAGCAAAATCGACCGTAACTTGATGGGAAGGGGTGAAGCATCTGCAAATCATGCAATGATTGGCAGCCGCATTTTTGTAGATATTATACTATTTTGATTTGATCTGATTTGTATATATTGCATGATATTGCTATTTTGATCTATTTTTTGGTGTTTTCTGTGGCCGATGCAGGTCTACGAGCAAGCCAACTCTTTAAATCCTGACAGGCGGATTTTGACAATTTATCTTCATCCCAGGAGTGGATGATGGGACAAGCTGCAGGAACCCCCTTTTTTTGTGATGGCAAAATCCATGCCCAAAACCATGCGTTCCTATAGATTTTCCTGCCAATTCATTGATATCATATCCTATCGTTGGATGTCCTTGCAGTAAGTCGCGCAGCAGGCGCTGCCACTTCTTGGATACATTCCAAGACTTTCTGGAGGAGGGACGCGGACCATGAGAAGTGATTTCTTCATGGAACAGAGTACATGAGTACAGCATGTGCTTCTACTTAATTACGGCACTTTTTTTTTGAGAAATGTAACATTTAAAATTTACAGAATTTGCAGAAGCACAACCTGGCTCTTTCTATAGGAGAAGTACCGAGACCTGCTGCTGGCAGAAGCAACCATTCCTGGTCCTGACAAATCCTTCACTTGCAGAGGTCTCAGCGATTTTAAAGCCCACGTCATTTCAGGAGGAGCACCTGACCCTTCATGACTGGAAATCACAGCAGTTGGATATGTAGTTGCATGATGTTGGATGTATATGGTTGGATCTTGATAAACTCTTGCGGAATTTAGACTTTGACTCTGTTCGGATGTAACCTGTCCAGTGAGGTGGAATGACAGACTCCAGCTGCAACGCCCGCATCCGTCACCTGGCGACCATGGCCGATCTGGCTTTGAGATTTTTGAAGCCCCACGTCCCATGGTGTCATGGCTTATTTTCTTTAGTTATCATGATTCAGGTGAATTACGGATAATTGCTTGAGAACTCCACAGAGTGACAAGCAATAAGTGCAAGCGACCTGATATGAACCGGCTGCCATTTTGGCTGCAAGTTTTAATCATGGGTGGCCTCTGACACCCTTCCTTAATTTGTGGGGGGGTTCAGAGGCGCGATGAGCCTGTTTGGGTCTTGGGCTGAAGCAGCTCAGTTTCGAGACTTGGAGGAGGTAAAGGATTTCTTGGGCCTGGGAAGACAGGTATGGGTGGCATTCACCACCCAAGTTGGCGATCCAGCCAACGATTTACGGCTGTTTGCAGCCTTGCCGAGGGTGGCCATTGTGGGTGCCTGCAATCAGGCCACCTTTCCCGATGGCAGCCCGTTGTTGCCCCTCCAGGCTACTCAAGTGGGGTTGGTGTGGCGCCTTTGCAGGAAGGTGGTAGCGGCAAGAGCTGGCACAAGAGAAGACCAGTTCGTTGACATCGACCCTTGGCATGAGCCCACAGCTTCGAGCACGGGAACGGCTACGGGAGGTATTGGACCACCAGGGCATGGTAGTGCAGTTGGGTCGAGCTCACAGCAGTCTGGCCTGAAAGAGAGGATCCTGAAGATGTCGACGTTAGTAGATGCTCAAGATGAATCAGAACTATTGCCCCCATCGAATGAGGAGGTGAATCAATGGACGCAGGCCTATGTCACCATCATGGGCTCCTTACCTGACCCTGCTGAGGAACCCACGTCAGCGCAGTTGGCAGCGTTGGCAAAACGCACAGTAGTTCATGATTGTGCGCCCTACACAGACTTCAGTGTGTGGACACCGTTTGCAAGGAGGACTATGAAGAACCAGAAGTATCGCACCGTGTTTCCCCTGGGTGACGGGTCCTACCTGACAAAGGAGTTGCCGGGCCCGAGTACCTTTCAGGCCTGGTTGGGGTGCTGGCGAGTGTTCAAGTCAGCTGCATTGATGTTGAACATATGCACATTGGCCTCGCTGACTAGCTACGAGCGCTTTGTGGAGAGGTTGACAACGCAGTGGCCGATGTGTTGGGGCCTAATAGCTCAGGCCGATGACAAGATGCGGGCTGAGGGCTTGGAGAGACTGAGAAGGAGGATTCTGACCTCAGAAGCGTTGGGAAGACAAATTCCCATCAACTGGGACCCTGCCAGGCCATGGACAGCAGTTTTCGACCTGGCAATCCAGGACACCGAGTACTGGGCGGAGAACGTCCATCACCCAGCTGCAGCGTGGTTGGCGGCAGGAGGACGTGGAAGGCCAGTAGTAGCTTCTGAAGTTGCTCTTCACGCTCATATGTTGGGGGGCACGGATCTGGTGACCGAGACGATGGGCGACGAGGGCAAGAAGCGTGTGCAGGCCAATAGAGACAAGAGAGCCGCGAGAAAACGTAGGCTGTTTGAAGATAAGGAAGAGCTGAAACGCTTGCGGGGTAGTCACTCGAACGGAGGTGGCAATGAGACCAAGGTGCACCAGGGTGGAAAGGGCCAGTCAAAGGGAAAGTCCAAAGACCAGAGTGGCAAGCCGCTTTGTTTTTCGTGGAGCGCAGGCAATGGGACCTGCGGACATCTTAGCCCGGGTGCAGAGTGCCTGGGGACGGTGAAGCGGGTCCACAAATGTAGGATCTGCCTTTCGCCGAGTCACCAAGAGGCGAAATGCACCTCGAAGTGAGGCGCCAGCGAGAAAACCTCAGGCATGAAGTTGCGAGTGTCCGGGGATCAGTTTTCTTGTTGTGAGGGTTTTGGAATTTTTGCATGGTGTTTGAAAGGTAGGTTAGGTTTGATAGCATGTTTGATTTGAGTTGCATTTCATTTGAACTTCATGCCAGCTCGACCGATGTCCATAGTGTTTGGATCGATGTCGGTGCTGTCCGACTCTTCGGATAGCCCATCGGACTCGACCAGCGACAAGGCTGGGCAGGTTGAGTCTGGCGGGAAGGATGACCGGCAGAAGGTCGAGCTGGAACCGGCGAAACAGTTGCTGGAGGGCGCCAGAAGTGTCATGTGGCCTGAGCGAGTTAAAGTTGCACGAGGCGACGCAAGCGACTTCGGCAAGTTCAGGGAGAGGAGAAAGTTTAGATTCTTGCACCTCTTCAGCGGCCCGGATGACAAGCTTGCCAAAGCCTTGAAGGAAGAGGGCCAGAAGGTAGGCATGACGGTGGAGGTGGAGAGCGTCGACATCAAGACAGACCCATCAATGGACCTCCGGCGCAACGAGGCCATGGACAAGTTCGAGACAAAGGTGTCGGGGGGTGAGTATGATGGGTATCATGCGGGATTCCCATGTGGATCATTCAGCAGAGTGCGGTGGCTGGCAAATGCGGGGATGCCTGGACCTGTTAGGTCCAGGTCTCATCCCTATGGCCTGCCAGGTAACTCTCAGGCCCAACAAGATGAAGCCGATCATGGAACCTTGATGGCTACGAGATCACTCGTCTTGATGCAGAAGCAGACCCTCTCCCAGCGGAACAGAAGGGTGCCTCAGTCAGCCACTGTTGAAAACCCGCCGGGTGATGAAGATGGTCCAGCAGGCAGCGCATGGATGTTGCAGGAGATCGTGGAAGTCCTCGAGCTCACGGGGGCAGGCATGGCAGACTTCAACACGTGCTGCTACATGGAGGGCAAGGAAAGGTTCTTCAAACCAGGCAGATGGGCCGGCAGACTGGAGGGATTGGAGAACCTGGCAAAGGTCTGCAGGTGTCCAGCGTGGGTCAAGCACATCCCTGTCATGGGAAAAGAAACCACGGTGAAGGCCGGGGTCTACCCCGACAACCTATGCAGGGAGGTGGCAAAACTCTACATCGCCGCATGGAAGAGGACGCTGGAGCTGGAGTTTTGGAGATGGAAGCTGACCCAGAAGGCCGAAGAGGTTTCCACGCTGAAGGCAGGGTGGCTCAGAAATGAAGAAAAGAGAATAGCCGAGAAACAGGAGACCATGGGCACTCGCAGGTTGGGTCACGTTGATGAGGTGTTCCCCATTGCCAAGGAGCACACAGCCATTGCGGGCGTCAACCCGGAGAAGGAGTCCGGTCCAAGTTCTTCAACAGGAGCCACGAAGAAACAGAAGAAGGAAGCTGAAAACGAGTTCTGCGTCGGCGGCATGAGAAACCCGCTGAGTGCAGTTAGGAGACTGTGGAAAGTCAAGGACATGGGCAAGAAGCTGAGGTACGCGTGGGAGGACTTCGTGAAGGAGAGGCCGAGGGCCTTGGTTCTGGGAGAGCGCTATGGGTCGAAGGAGGCACAGTTCGACGAGACCATCGCTATGGAATGGCAGCTGAAGGTGTCAGCGGTCTTGGGTGTGTCCACGAGAGACGGCCTCACCCTCAGGGACAAGTTGATGTTCAAGAGCCCATTGAACGTGGACCTGTGGAGGGCCTGGTTCAAGGAGACGGGGGACCCTGACTACCACATGAGCAACCGTAAAAACCCCGGCAATACTAAATATGTATTTGACGGACATTGGCTTATGGAATTGATGGAAATTGTTAAAAACACGAGGTAAGCGATGGGACCTTCCCAAATTAGCGATACCCCTTTTCAAGGTTATGTCATCATATTTCTCTAATATCCACATTAGCGATACCCAAATATCACATATTATTCATAGTTCATCATATATATATATATAAATACAGCAGTTTCCTGCAAGCGATACCCCCCAAGTTTACCATATATCATTATTGTACAAACGTGTGGTAAGCGATGGGACCTTCCCAAATTTGTGAATGTCCTTTCCGTGAACCTAGGGTTTTCACATTCGCTCACATAGCGGAGTGGGCGGAGACTGGGGTGCCCCTCGGCATGAACATGCCCATACCGACGTCGAACGGCGTCTTCCCGGCAACCGGAGAGGTCACGCCGGAGCTCATGGAGAAAGGCCCGGAAATCGAGATGCAGTCGCGCGTGACCAACTATAAGTCGTTTGTGGATGCCCCCGAAGATGCAGAGATCGAGGTGCAGAGGTACGTGGAAAAGGGGTTCGCCATCCTGATGGAGTGGGACGAAGTCCAGGCCTACTTTGACAAGGGCACTGTGAGCCGCCTTGCGTTGGTGCTCAAAACCAAGCCTGACGGGAGCATCAAACGCAGGGTAGTAGTGGACCTTTTGCGGTCAGGAGGCAACGGCAGAACCACGACGCCAGAACGCATAGTCCTCCCCCGCATTGTGGACGTCACCAGAATGGCTAGGGAGCTGGCTGAGAAGAACGCAGAGGACAACAATGGACGCGTGGCAGAGTTTGTCATGTACGACCTACAAGATGCGTTCTGCCACTTCCCAGTCTGCAGGGAGGAACTGGCAAACTGCTTGGCCCCCAGCAACAGGGAAGACCAGGCCATACTGTTCAGGGCGTTGCTGTTCGGCTTCAAGTCGGCCCCACTGTTGATGGGAAGGCTGAGTGCAGCGGTGGGCAGACTATGGCAATCCCTGATGTCGCCGATGGAAGGCCAGATGCAGATCTACGTGGACGATGTGCTCACGTTGATGAATGGAACGGAAGACGAGAAGGCCAACCTCATCTCGTTGGGCCTGTACACCATGAAGGCCTTCGGAGTGCAGATAGCACTGGGGAAGGGCGAAAGGGGCCAACAGGCCCAGTGGATCGGGGTGAAGATGCTTCTTCAGTGGCCGAACGACCCGAGAGAGGGATCGATCACCTACTCGGCCCCCAAGAAGATGGTCGAGGAGATCCTGGAGACGCTGAAGACATGGTTGCACAAGGGCATGATTTCACACCGGGAGCTCAGAAGCACCACGGGTCGACTGAGCTGGGTAGCCGGCATTTTGCCGAGGCTACGTTGGGCCGTGTCAGTCCTCTTTGCGGTCCTCAAGGATGCGGAAGATGATGAGAGGTCTGGAGCGGAGGAAGAAAGGGCCAGCAGACGGCAAGACCGTCGACCGAAGTTTGGGTTAGTGGCGGTGAAAAGGTTTGGTGCCACACTGAGGTGGCTGGTGGCAATCCTCTCCAAGACGGACAGGTTTGTCCTGCGCCGTGAAGAACTTGTGGAGAAGCCGGTCACCATGGGCATCTTGTCAGACGCGTCACCGCTAGGACTTGGAGCAGTGCTGGTCTCCGTGGACCAACAAGGACGAGCCATCTACATGGTGGAAGCGTTTGAGGCAAAGTTCTCCAAGGCGGAAGCAGAGCTGTTGGGCCTCGAGCACGGCGAATCATCCAGCCAGGGTGTCTTGGAGGCCTTGGCAATCCTCCGGGCAATCAAGCTGTGGCGCACGAGACTCCAGGGCCGAGCCGTGTTCGTGCGTAGCGACAGTGTCGTGGCCCTGGCGATGACTAAGAGGTTGTCGAGCTCTACACCGGCCCTCAATCACCTTGGCGGTGAACTGGCCATAGCGTTGGAACAGTACAACGTGGTCAGACTGGTCCCCCAGCACGTCCCAGGGGTCATGAACTTTGAGCCAGACTGGCTATCACGACCACACGACAGGTCGGAGACGGTGCCAGACAACTTGAAAAAGATCAAGATCAAGCAGTTGGCCCCGGTGACAGCAGAAGATTTCACCTTGGCCCCCCCTGGCGCCAAACATCATCCATGGGAGGGGCTGCCGCCACACAACGTGTCGGTGTTCCAAAACCTTTGACAGCGCGTGACGCCCGAGAAAATCCTGTGAAAATTTCAGGGGGGGGAAGAACTTGGTTGTCAAATTTGAAGTTGAGGTTGACTTTTTATTCAGTTGTTTTAAGACAGGGTTAAATCATTCAGTTTGGCATAGGACATAGTGATTTCCCGTGCGTGTCCACGCATGGAACCCGAGATCACTGCAGTGAGGTCCGGCCCAAGTCTCAGTAGGGGATCTGTGGCCATCGGAAGCTCGATGTCCATCGCGCTGAAGCCTCAATGGGGCGTAAGCGTAACGCAGAGGGTGGACAGCGAGGCGAAGTTTCCCCTGCTGAAGATCTGGGCTTTGACCATGGCACTGTCTTTCCTCCTCGGATGTCTGTTTTACAAGCTATGTGTGCCGCGGCTATGCCAATGGAGCAGGAGATGGGGCGGCAAGACGTGGAAATGGTTCACATGGCTGAAGCGAGCGTGCTGCAGGTCCCCAAGGGCATGTCAGCGGGAGTCCAACCACACCAGCAACAGCTGGGGGCCCATGCCAGCAGCCTACTTAGGTCAGGGCACTTCGTCAGAGTCAACAACGAACTGGCGAAACAACGGAGATCAAAGGAAGTCAGCAGGCAGCTCCCCCTCCACAAGACCAAGGAAGGAGTACAGGCCAACGATTCAGTCTCCCAGGGCATCGTGTCGAGGAACCCGAGACCAGTGGCAGAAGGAGCCTCGAGGGGGGAGTCGCCAGGTGGGACAGAAGTCACCGGGTTCCCAGGGTCAATCAGTCCTGGGACTGATGACAGAGATGGCCAGGGGAAACCCAAGCGGCATGACAAGTCCAGGCAGGGCATGAAGAACGCGCTGAAGTTGGCCAAGGCTCCGAACGACTTGAAGAAGGCGAAGGAAAGCTTCCGTCGAAAATTCCTTGCCAGCGCGACACTGCTGGCGAAGAACGCCAAGCGCCGAAAGATAATGGAAATCTTGAAGGCGACGTGCGGCGAGGAGTACTTCCCCCTCCATCAGGAGTCGATCCTGTGTGTCTCCACGGCTCTGGACGAGGCACAGCTGCAGTCGGGTGATCAATACATCCATGAGCTCAAGTTGATGCATATCGAGGCGGGCTTCGACTGGAGCGCACCGCTGGAGAGGCAGCTGTTCCTTTGCAAGAAGGCGCTGAAGAGGCACAGGGGCCCAGAAGTTCGAGCAAAGGAACTTCAGATAGCCGAGCTGAAAACGGAGACATGGGAGAACAAGTGCACGACCAAGGGGGGATACACGAGACCGGCTTGGATGTATGCCCTTGCACTGTCATGGATGCTGAGAGCATGTGAGGTCACTGAACTCAGAATGAGTGACGTTGAGGTCGGCTTCGAAGAAAGAACGGTGAGCCTCAGGATCAGGAAGTCCAAGACGGACCAGGCGGCGAGAGGGACACTTAGAACCCTCTCATGTTGCGGGAGACAAACTTGCACAAGGGAATGCCCATGGGCTCTGGCTGTGCGGTCGTTGGCAGATCGTCCCAACGGCAAACCCGAGGACTTCCTCTTCGCGGTGACGAGTGGAGCAAAGCGGGGGAGAGCCCACACGGCCAAGTGCTGGGCAAAAGAATTGCATGGCGATCTCACGGGTCACTCTGCAAGGAGGTCGGGGGCCATGTTCTACACCAGGAAGGGCATGGACATTCAAGACATATCGTTCCTTGGGAGATGGAGGAGCTCCGCGGTGTTCCGCTACATGGAGGAAGCCATGCAAGAGCGTCCTATGAATGCCAGAGTGGTTGGAACGACGGAAAAGGAGGTAAAGGAGTCCGTGGTCAACCACACCCAGTCCCTGGAAAGATGGACAGACAAGTTGGTGGGAGGTGATGCAGTTCAACCGCCGACGCCATCACCTAAGATACCAGCGCCGGGGACACCAGGGCCAGTGATGATACCGAGCGATCCAGAAGACCTTGGACTTTGGGCGACATCGTGGACGAGATCCAAGAAGAAAGTCACCCACGTGGTGTTGAAGGCATCGTGGCAACTGGATCTCAACGAGTGGGCCACGGCTTGCGGATGGCACTTCGCTCAGAGGTCAGTCAAGGTCTCCCTGTCGAAGTCACCACCGACAAATTCTCACAGGTGCGTCAAATGCGAGAAGATCAGAGAGCTGCGCGACAAAGTCCCAGAAGGTGCAGTGTTGGCGCAGCTGGTGTCAGGAGACTTAGACCAGTTGTTGCCAAAGGGATCTTCGAGCAGGATCAAACCGATCCAAAACCTGGGTCAGATGGACCCAGCTTGCAATGCACAAAAGAATTGCGAAGGTGGTGATCTTGGGGAAGGTGGTGGGTTCTCACTTCATGAAGAGAGCTCAGCTATTGATTGAGAACTCCACAGAGTGACAAGCAATAAGTGCAAGCGACCTGATATGAACCGGCTGCCATTTTGGCTGCAAGTTTTAATCATGGGTGGCCTCTGACACCCTTCCTTAATTTCCACACCCACCCACCCTTCGAACAAATGTTTGGAGGTTTGGGGTGAAGGTGCAGTGTTGGCGCAGCTGGTGTCAGGAGACTTAGACCAGTTGTTGCCAAAGGGATCTTCGAGCAGGATCAAACCGATCCAAAACCTGGGTCAGATGGACCCAGCTTGCAATGCACAAAAGAATTGCGAAGGTGGTGATCTTGGGGAAGGTGGTGGGTTCTCACTTCATGAAGAGAGCTCAGCTATTGATTATAGAATCTTATAGATACTGATGGTCGTTTTCAGTTTCCTTATCAATCTTATCATCATTTTCCTATCAAAATGACAGTTTTTGTCATCAGCTACGGTAGCCCAGATGCTCCAGGTATAGTATATTTACCATTATTTACCTACATTTGGGCCATTTGTTGGGTAAATGTAGGTAAATATTCCATACATTGAGCATATGGGTATGGATCAATACCTATTAATAGCATTTTTAGGGGGATGAACATCCATAAATCCCAGCTATTTTGATGTTCACCAGGGGTACAAGGTTTTGACACACTGCCATATGGGTAGATGCATTTTATGTAAATCTCCAACCCTTGCGGGCCACCTGGAAACTCAGGCAGATGCCGCCGCGGATCGCCTGGGCATTTGCGCTTTGCCACCCTGCGTCAGGCCATCCATTGGTGGTGACTGGGAATGAAACATGGCCAGGAAATCCATGAAAATGGGCATTTTAATGGGCACTTAAATGGGAAAATCATGAACATCACCCAAGCATATTGGGGAGTATTGGGGGATTTTCCAACAAAACATGTTTCATTTCTGGTAGTGAATGAGTTTCAGCTGTTGGTGTTGGATCGGTGATCTGATAGTCCAACTAGCAAGATCCGTAGTGACCGTAGTGAGCCGTAGTGATGTAATCATGATTTTTTTAAATTGAATTTTGGTAATCTATTTTCTGATCTATCTGATGATCTATTTGCTGATCTGTTTGATGATCTGTTTGATGATTTATCTGCTGATCTATCTGATGATCTTGGATAAATTTTGTATGGCCTGAATCTAACAAAACATCCAACACATTTCCCCAAGATTTCAATGTCAGCCAGATTCTTCCTGGTAAAACCCATCCAAAGTACAGGCCTTTTGGAACGGACTTTCAAGATGGATTTACGGAGTGAAGCCTAACTGCCAGGGCCTACGAGCCTCAAGGGGAGAACCTGATGCATTGGAGGCCTGTGTCTGGGCATCAGTGATTTTCATTTGCATATCTCTGGATGGAATGGAACTGGAGTTGAATCAGTTGATATCAGCTGAATTCAGAATCTTCGGAACTGTGTCAATGGGAAAGTCCAAAACATTCCAAGCTGCGTGAGGCATGTCTGAGCCATTCCGTGGGACGGCCCATCCCAAAGTTGATCAAGCAGCTGGTGAAGTACATCAACAACTTTGGAAGCCACTCCTGGGGCTCTGAACTCTTTGAGAAGCAGAAGGACAGCGTGCAGTCCATGCATTTTCCATGTGTGAGCTGGCTACTGGCAGTGTCCAAAACTGGCAGATACCCCAACCAGAACAGTTTTTATATGTGGTTTCTTACTGATGAACTGCCACTTCACCATTTGATGTCTTTTTGCATGTTTTCCATTTGAGCTGCATTTGAACATATCCTGATCTGCAGCTGCCCCTTTCAAGCATTTGACAATTCGCGACTTGAAGGAAAACACTGAGGAGCTGTTGCATTTCGCACCTTGCCTGCACCTGCCGACGAGCAGGTTATGAGCCCAACGACCTCTTGGCTCTGAGATGATGCAGAGGAGGAGGGCAACAAAAGAAGAGCTCAAACAAGGAGCTGAAGAAATTCGGCAGGCTGATGCAAGGATGAGGACAGAAGCGGCAGCGTTGGGTGAGGAGCCAATAGAAGATGTAAAAGCAGATGAAGGGAAGTCAGAACAAGTAATGGAAAGCCTTGAAGATGGACCCCAACAAGTGGAAAGGTATGTAGAAGAGCCCCCAAAGAATAGCCCAGAAGTAGCCAATTCAGGATCAAGACCAGGTGTCCCAAGCACACCACCGCCACCACATCCTCCTGAGTTGGAGGTGAAATCTGCGGGTCTGCAAACACCAGGTCAGACCAGCACTGCCAGGAAATCTCCCGAGGTCAGGAGCTCTGTAGTTCAGCAGGATGAGAAGGCTGCTGGATCGGCTCTGTCTGATCGACTTCGAGAGGACGTTGCAACCACACCACTGTTCACTGAGGAACAAGCCAGGACCTTGAATGAGTTGCATGATAGGGCACCATGGCTGTACCAATCAGGACGGTCGGCATTCTCTCCATATCTTCATAGGCCTGCTTTCTTAGAGCATGAAGAGGATAGGCTTAGAGAAGGGTTGTCAGAGAGGGAACGCCAGTTGCAATATATGAGAGATCGGTTGTTTCAAGAGCAGAACGAAAAAGAAGAGCTGAAAAGAGCAGTTTCGTCAGTCTTGGAGGACAATCAACGCATGAAAGTTCGACTCCAGGACTTGGAAGCAAAGGTGAGAGATCCTGAGCAGAAGTTTTCGACTCCGGAAGGGTCACAGAAGCAGGAGGCCGAGACCACCAAAGAACCCCGAGGATCAAAGGAGGCTGAGACCACCAAAGATCAAAGAACAGGACCAGAAGCCGAAGCTTCCACCTCGGCACATCATGAGCCGAGACCAGAGGGAAGCGGAAGCCTGACTGAAAAGTTCATGCTTCTCATGATGGAGTCTATGAAAGAGATGCAGAAGAAGTACCTAGAGAGCAAAGATGAGGCTGGAATGGTCAGAGGAGTAGAAGTGGTCAGAAGTGGAGCACCAGAGCTTCCACCCTTGCCGGCATGGAACCCAACGCAGGGCCCCTTGCAACTGGGAGATTGGCTTCTACTACTAGAACCTTTGGTTGCTGACATGTCTGCCACGTCAGAGTTGTGGTGGAGCCTCATGTCAACAGCAGCAGAACAATGGTACCACAAGCATACAGCCTTGTCACCCCTGGACAGGATTCAGCACCAAGCATCTCCGCCGTCCAATGTCCAGCTTGACAAGTGGCAGCGGTTAGAGAGGAGGATGTCGGCGATGCTACTCCAATCAATCCCGGAGATGATACGGGATGAACTTGTGGCTTCACGACGTTTGAGCGTCTTTGGCATCCTGACTCATCTCTACACCGTCTACTGCCCTGGAGGTGTCTATGAGAAACAGACCCTCCTCAAAAGCTTGGAAGAACCAGTGGAAGTTACTTCGCTGACAGAAGCACCGGCGGCCATCAGGAAATGGTTGAGGTGGAGGAGAAGAACAGAGGAGATCGGGGCAGTGGCTCCGGACCCAGCCTTGTTGCTGAAGGGGCTGAATCGCTTGACGCGCAAGGTCATCGAGCCGAACAAGGAGCTGCAGTTTCGCATCTCGATGGTGCGTAACAGCCTGGGGGTAGACACAACCCCCACAGCAGTGACAGTTGGTCACTTTGCCACACACCTCCTGGCAGAGATCGAGCAAGTCGCCCTCACAGAGAAGCGATCAGCACCAGCAACGAGAACAGAAGCACCGAAGTTGAAGGCCTTTGAGGTTGACAAGGCCGACAAAGGAAGAGCAAGGACTTCAGAGAAGCAAGCAGAAGAAAGCACAGGCAAGCCAAGATGCAAGTTCTACCTCAGTGAGGCTGGATGTCGGAAAGGAAAGCAGTGCACCTACTCTCACGACGTCAAAGACGAGAAAAGACGCTGCTGGACATGTGGCGCTGTGGATCACATGGCATCGTCATGCACAAGACCCAAGTCCACCTCAGCTGAGAGCAGTCCCACAAGGCCGAAGGTCATGAAGATCGAGGGGGAGGAGAAGACACCTTCCTCAAAGGAGACAGATGCCCAGTCTTCGGCACCTTCTGAGGTGTCAATGAAGGAGCTCATGGAGGAGGCAAACAAGATGCTCAGATCGTTGTCCTCTTCTGGAGGAGCCCCATCACCACCAACAAGCCCTACTTCAAAAGAGGAGGATGCCAAGACTGAACTGATGGAGAAGCTACAGCAGCAACTCAACAGCATGAAGCTCAAGACACTGCGTTTGGGACGGATGTCAACAGAAGTGAAGCCAAGGCCTCATTGACAGCGGGGCCACCAATCCACTACGTCCCAAACGATGCGGCGAAAGGATTGAGCACTACAAGAAGCTAGAAGTGTCCCTTGCAGATGGGACCACAACCAGACTTCCAGTCTCTCCAGGAGGGGCGATGGTGAGCGCCAACGACAATACGGAGCCGATCGTTCCAATGCATCAGCTCACCGGCCTCTTGGGGTGTGAAGTAAGATGGAAAGGCCAGGAGTTGGAGGTCATTCACCCAGACCGTGGCAAGCTGCCTGTTCAGCACTCAGGAGGCTGTCCACAGGTAACAAGAGCACTTGCCATTGACCTCATCTCGGAGATTGAGGACCGAGTCCAAGGCATTGGCACTGAGAAGAGCCAGTTCACAGAAGAAGAAGGTTGGATGAGGAAGCTGGTACAAGAGCACCCAGTACTCAAAAGCCTTCCGCCTTGGATTCAAGAGAGGCTGGTGGTATCCCCAGGAGAATGGTCTGGGCTGCCGCTAAACAGAAGGATCAGGAGGAGGTTGAGACAAGAAGGTTTTGTCCTCCACCTCTATGCAGGCGAAAAAGAAGGGTTCAGCTTGCAGAGAGCCCTCAAACAGGTTGGAGGAGATGAAGCGAAGCTGCTGGAGATTGACATCAAAAGAGGTCCTGAGCACGACATGCTCAGTGACACCAAGGTGTATCCCAGTCTTCTACGAGCAGCACTTGAAGGAAAGTTGAAGGCGGTCCTAGGAGGGCCCAACTGCAGAACACGAAGTGTTCTCCGGCACTACCCCATAGAGGGGAATCCCCAAGCTCCGCGACCAGTCCGAGAATGGGATGGAGGAGAATTTGGGAAGAAAGACTTGAGCCCACAAGAGGAAGCTCAAGTGAGAGAAGATGACATTCTTCTCTGGAGGATGGTGTTCCTCTACATGGTGGCCAACTATGTATCCAAAGCTCGAAGCCACAGCCAGGTCCACTTTGCACTTGAGCAGCCAGCATCACCCCAGGAGTACATGCCACAAACAGTGAGCTTCTGGGACACCAAGCAGTGGAAAGAACTCAAGGCCGAGTTCAATTTCGAGGAGATCACCTTTGAACAGAAGAGGATGGGTGGTCCAGCAACCAAACCAACAACAGTAGCAGGCACACTTGAACTAGATGTAGGAGATGATCGATGGACCAAAGGCAAGAGCTGTGCCAAGATCTCCAACTCAAAAGATCTGGCGAGATGGCCACCAGGTCTGATGCACATGATGGCCACAGCCATCGTCGAACAAGTTTTGCACCAGGAAGTGCAAATCAAAGTTCTGTCATGGCAAGAACACTTAGCATACAACCACCTGCCGTACCGACGTGACTGCAGGGTGTGTCAAGAGTCCCTGCAGCAGGCAGATCTCCATCGGCGGGTTCGCAACCCGATGGGCGGTATCCTCAGCATCGATGTTGCTGGTCCAATGAAGCCAGCATATGATCAAGGAGGAGGACAAGCACGGTGGATCTTGGTGGGGGCATTGTCATGGAGAGTCCCACGGGGATCCACAAAGATGAAACAGCCAACAGAAGAAGCATTAGAAGCAGATGCTCCAGAGATCGAAGAAGGCCAGGCAGAAGAAGAAGACCAGGCAGAAGAAGATGGCCAAGAAGAAGAAAGTGAAAGGCAGCAGCAAGGGGAGGTTGGCGGAGGCGTAAGTCGGGGTGGAGGAGACCCCGGCAATCGCCCGCCCGGCGGTGACGGACGTCAGGGTGGAGGAGACCCTGGCAATCGCCCGCCCCCAGGTCGAGGAGTAAGTCGGGGTGGAGGAGACCCCGGCAATCGCCTCCCTGGTGAAGGAGCACGTGAGGGTGAAGAAGACCCGGCACAGCTCCCTCCCAACATAGAAGAAGAAACTGAGCTGCGTGTCTTTCGAATGGCCCTGCCGATGGTGACGAAGACAGCCAAAGAGGTCACCCGAACCACCATGGAATTCCTGCTTAGGCTCAGAGCAGATGGGTATCAAGTGCACAGAATCCACTGCGACAGAGGCCACGAGTTCGCAGGTGAGTTCAAAAGATGGGCCAATGCGCGGGGAATTCACATAACCCGCACACCGGGTGATGATCCGAGAGGAAACGGAAGGGCCGAGGTTGCAGTGAAGGCGATCAAAACCCAGATCAGAAGAACTTTGAGCCAGGCCTGCGAAGACTCCAAATGGTGGCCATGGGCGTGCCGCTATGTGACAGAAATCAACCGATGTGTGAGGTTGGATGAGAAGCCGGAATGGCCAAGGTTTCTGAAGGAAGTTCGAGTGAAGAAGAGAAGATGGAAGAGAGGAGACTTCGAAGTTGGAGTCGAGAAAGTTCAGTACCTATGTCCATCGACAGAGGACCATGGACATTGGGTATACAAAGAGGGCGAAGCACCAAGGGTGACAAAATGCCTGATGAGGCCAACAGAAGAACCCCTGGACGAGAGTGTCTGGGTTGCCATCGAGAAAGAGATGGTAGACGCACTGGTGCTTCGAAGAAGATTGAGGCAGAAGACATCAGTGAGGAGGTTGGATGCTTCGATGAAGGCACCCAAAGAGGAAGATGATCAAAGGAAGAAGATCCGAGATCGGATCATGAAAGTGGTAGAAGAAGAGGCTCGGCAGATCATAGAGGATGATCCTGAGCTGGCATCTGAGGAGCTCAAGATTGTGGCAAAATTGAAGAAGATGGCAGAAGGAATTGAAATGGAGGAAGAAGAAGTACTCCAAACGAAGATAGTGGGACCGAGAGAGGTCGCCGCTAAATGGAAGGATTGGCTTCCGGCCATTGAAGCAGAAGTACACTCCTTGGTGGTAGAAAAGGAGGCCTTGAAGATGCTGTCAAAGGAGGACTTCAAGGAGTTGAAAGAAGCAACAGAGAGAGCAGGCACCAAGCTGGAAACAGTTCCTTCAAAGATGGTGTTCACCGTCAAGCCTGGACCTGATGGTGGAAGACCCAAGGCAAGATGGGTCGCATGCGGGAACTATGAGTCCAAAAAGGATGATGAGAACAACTACTCAAGTGGCGCAGATGCCACAGCGTTCAGAGTCTTGGTTTGGAAGTCAGCGAAGGAGCAGTGGGTGGGTGTGGTGATTGATGTGAAGACAGCATTCCTGAATGCAGCGATGGATCAGAAAGGAGACGAAGGAATCCTTCTGATCAAACCACCAACCATCCTGGTGGAAAAGCAGTTTATGACCAAAGAGGCTCTTTTCTTGCCACTCCGTGCTGTATATGGCTTCCGAAGATCTCCAAGACTTTGGGGAGATCACAGAGATAGCGTCATGAAGACCATCAAGATCCAGTTCGTCAGCTCTGGTCAAACCGTGGAGCTAGTCTTGGAGCCCCTGGAGTCAGAACCCAACTTGTGGAAGGTAGTCAAGGCCGAGGGGGAGAAACAACGAGAGCTGGAAGAAGAGTTTCAACTGTATGGCATGGTCATGACGTACGTGGATGACATTTTCATCTCTGGCTGTCAACCAGTTGTGGAGGCGCTCCTGAAAGAGTTTCAAAGCATCTGGGCCACTTCGAAGCCAGAGTGGGTTTCGTCATCACCGGTGCGTTTCCTGGGCATGGAAGTGACCAAGGAGGTGGACCCTGAGACACAACGAGAAGTATGGCTCATAACACAGGAGTCATACATCAAAGATCTCGTGAGCCGTCAAGAAGAAGAAGTCAAAGAGAAGAAGATTCCAATATCACGAGATCAAGCAGCCATGGAGGTTGATGAGGAGCCTCCCAGCATAGAGAGGGTCAGAAAGTGTCAGAAAGCGGTAGGAGAAGTGCTCTGGTTAGTCACTAGAACCAGACCGGACATAATGTTTTCAGTAGCCCGCATGGGTGCGAACGTCACTCGCGCCACCAGGAAAGTGATGGAAGCAGCTTCACAACTCTGGGGCTTTCTGAAAAAGACAAGTGCAGAAGGCTTGAGGTATGAGGAAGAGACAGAAGAAGAACCGGTTGTCCAGGTGTATACCGACGCGTCCTTCGCGCCGGAAGGTGAAGAGTCACACGGCTCTTACCTGGTCATGGTCAATCGATGTCCGTTGTTCTGGCGATCTGGTCGTCAGGCATCAGTGACGCTCTCAACTGGCGAGGCAGAGCTGAATGAGCTGGTGGAGGGACTCAATGCAGGAGAATCAGTAGCAGTGCTGATAGAAGAAATCCAAGCTGGTGTCAGAAAAATGGCTTGGACTGACAGCTCAACAGCAGTGAGCATCCTCACCAGTGAAGGAGGCTCTTGGAGAACGAGACATCTCCGTTTGCGCTCCTCCTACGCCAGACAGGCGATCTTGGGAGGAGAATGGGGTCTCAACCACTTGCCAGGAGAAAAGATGATCGCAGACATCGGCACCAAAGCATTGACTTCTACAAGAATTGAAACACTCAAGTCAATGATGGGCATGGGGAAGAAAAGAAAAGAGGAGGAAGTAGGAAAAGAAGCGAACCTGCCAGCAGAGAAGCAGGTTGCATCAACTGAGCAGGCGATTGCAGCTGTTCGCCTGATCACTCTGGTCGCCATGATGTCCGTGGCCAAGGGTGAAAAACAAGAGGAGGAAGATATGGAAAGTTTCAATGCGTTTCACTGGATGGTCGCGGCGTATACCGTGATGGTCATCGTCGCCACCGTCACTGTTCAGGCTGTTTGGAAGGTCGCAGTAAGGATGAGACAGGGAGAGACCGAAGAGCCTCAATCCCGGAAGTCCCGAAGTCGCCCCAACAGCCAAGGAAAAGATTGCGCGACGCTGCTGGACAGGGGGATCATTCCAGGTGATGCGGTTGAGGGTAGAGGAGACCCAAACCAGCTCCCTGAAGCAGGTGAGGCGGCTAAGGAGAGCCAGCCCCCTGAGGCATGTGTGGCAGTTCCGGGTGGAGGAGACCCAGGACGGGCCCGTGCCGGCCATGGTGGCCCTTCGGGTGCGGCATCATCAGGCCAAACCCTTGATTCCCTGATCCAGCAGCAGATCGCAGATGATGAACGTTGGGAAAGAGAATGGAGAGAGCTAGAAAGAGATGAAGCTATGATTCAAAGAGAGCTGAATACACCAGGGAGCGCACTGTGGACAGAAGATGATCCACCTGAACCAGCGACTGACTTTGATGTCTACTATACACAGTATGGAGCTGTGTACCATCAAGATCGAGCATGTGGCCACCTGAAAGGGCCCAAGGTTGGACAGGTGTTTGAAGGAAGATGGTGTCGAACGTGCCAAAAGAAAGCGGGTCGTCAAAACAAGGCTCCGCTACCAGGAAAAGAAATTTTGCTTGGAAAGTCAGTCAGAATTTTCCACACAGATCTCCAGTGTCCAAAAGGAAGAAAGAATGAGAGAACTCCAGTGTGTCAAAGCTGCGGAGTGAAGAACACATAGGGGTAGTTTGAGCGGCGAATGATTTCCCCCTATCGGGGTCATCAAGGGGGAGTGATGAACTGCCACTTCACCATTTGATGTCTTTTTGCATGTTTTCCATTTGAGCTGCATTTGAACATATCCTGATCTGCAGCTGCCCCTTTCAAGCATTTGACAATTCGCGACTTGAAGGAAAACACTGAGGAACTGTTGCATTTCGCACCTTGCCTGCACCTGCCGACGAGCACTTACCATCAAAAAGGTCGGAATTTTTCCATTGATGGGTTTTCCACGTTTTTTTTTCCATGTATTTCTACGGTCGGACCCGAAGCATCCCGGCTATCTCAGGAGCTTGCAGCTGAAGCTTGGCCGAAAAGCTCCATGGGAACATGGCCCGTTCTCACGCACATCTACCGCAGGCGTGGAGGATCCGTTTCTCCCTGCAGTGTTTACAGGGCAGGGTCAGTTCAGCCATGGAATTTGGCGGTCTTTTCCAGCAAGAAAACTGGCAAAATGATGGGATTATTCATGACTCATCCCCCCAAAGATGGTACAAATTGATGTATCCCCAGTAACATGAGCTGCCCTGAGGCGACCGTGTGGTGTGACGGAGTCTGGGCGAGCCAAAGATTTGGAGAAACTGGCAAAGATTGGGGCTTCTGCCAAGGGCTAAGTGTTCTGAAATGGTGCACTGCTTCGGCAGCTGTGCTTTTTAGCTCTCAGCTCGTGGCGTGGCCTCAGGAGATATCGCCTTTCTTTTTCCCCGAGGAGGCTGGTCGAATTTCAGTTTTCGAATGTCATTGGAAATGTCACAAAGATTCACTTTCCAGGGTTCAAAAACATTTCAACCACAGATGCCTGGTGGAAGTTTCTTCTTAGTTCGAGGTGCCTTTTAGAGTTTTTTTCCAAGTCCTGACATGGATTGAGTGCTTTCCAGGCCGCAGCTTGTTCGGCCCTTGCCTCGGAGTACAATAGTAGTAGATGTCTTCTTTTTCCCATGCTCGTGACATACAGGCATACAGGCATATTATATATAATGATGCATGATGCATATTGATATATATATGATATAGTTTATATAGTTGATATATATATATATAATACATGATGTTATATTGATATAATATGGCATATTGATGATGCATCATGCCCTTGAGGTCACCTTGATCACCGAGCCATCGATGTCATTGGCTGGGCAGCACTGGCCTGCAGTTGCAACTGACGCATAAATCTCTTTGAATGTATGTCATATTATGTCATTTAGTATGCCAAGCATTTGTACAAAGCACACATTTTCTTTTTGCACAAAAACTTTGGCCAATATTCAACGATTCAACTGATACTTTGAATCCAGGCAAGTTATGAGTATCGCTCGGGATGGAGAAGGCACTCTGGAGAGGATCTTCCTCGATGGTAAGCAGCTTGGATGGTCGGTTGGGGGACTGTTTCATACTGCAGAATGGCAATTTTCAATGGATTGGTTGGGATAATCTCAGCCAGAAACCATGGTTTTTCCCATGGAATATCAGAGTTTCCTGTAAATTTTCCCTGAAACTATATATATATAATCCATTGAAATTTTGAAATTCTTATCCATTCCACTGATAATTCCAGATTCAAGGGGATTGAGAATGATTTGCAACCGAGATCAGTTGCCTCCAGAAGCATCCAGCGATGTTGCTCAGGCCAGCCAGTTCACTCGTGCATGTTTCTGTTTTAATTTCAGACATCTTCCAGAATTTATCACTGAATTACCCTCTGGTAATTTAACATAGCCATGGAAAATGGCCCATTTATAGATGGTTTACCTATGAAAAATGGGGATTTTCCATGGCTATGTTAGTCATAACCAGATGGTAATTGATAGTGAGTTGGATAGGGATCTAAATCTATATAAATCTATCATAACATAAATCTATATAGATCTAAATATCATATCATAACATTAATATCAGTAGAGCTTCACTTCTGCCATGTTTTTTTTGGCCCAGGCTCGATTTGCCAAGGGGACGAAGTTGACCGTCATCGAGCCCATGCTCGTGGTTTCGCGCGATGGCCTCCGTGGCATGGCTGTCCAAGCCGGTGAGGCGCCGTTCCGTTTGTTTTTGGAGACCTGAAATAATCAGCCGAGTTTCCAGTTTTTGATGATCATATATATATATAATTATATATATATATATCTCATATTTATTGTTGTTGATGATTTGATTGATGAACTTTGTTCGTTTTTGTTGGGGGGATAAAGAATTGGATCTTTGGGGGATTCTTGATGTCAGCAGAGTGGTGTCGTGGCTTAAATGATCACAGCAGGATTGGTTTTTTGTCGCTGCACAACTGCAGCAATTTGGCTTGGTGTGTGATGCAAGGAATCAAGGAGCTGCAGTTAATTACGTTCAACAAACTACTGACATAAACTATAAGCGATATATATAATTATAAACTATCCTTCTACCTTGACTGTACTCTACCTGACAGCCTGATGCACAAGATATCACGACGTCACCATGACAGTTTGGAAGGCACAATTTGGAAACAACTTGAAGGACTCGAAAGACGAAGCAGCAAAGCCTGCATATGTCCCAGTGGTGACACAGCCATGGCCCTTCGTGGAGGGAAGCTGGATGTGCAACAGATGACGTCTTAGATGCGCGGCATCTAACGTGTTGCAACTGGAGTTTGTAGCTGGCGAGCTGGCCCAAAGATTGCGCTGCACTGCAGATTCTTCACCGGTGATCAGCTTCCCCAAAAACTGGTGCATACGATTTGATGTTCCGTGAGTGGGAAGGATCCGAAGGATCTGCCGGCATTGGAGCAGCTTCTCCCAGCACTTGGTGAATTGAACTCCCGACATTTGGCGAATTTGGCTTGGTCTTTTGCCCGGAGCCAATGACGGCATGAGCTGACTCTGAATGCCATGGCTCGACGCCTCTGTGGAATGCATGCCTGTGAATTTCATCCCAAGGGACTTGCGGCCATTGCCTGGACGTGGGCGAAGCTGGCCAAGAAAAATATGGCTTTGATGGATCAGATCGCTTCACATACTTGTGTGATTTTGGGCAAAGATGGCAAAGACCCCTTTGGATCTCGCGAGCTAGCAGGGATTGTGTGGTCATTCGCCTGTTTTGCATTGTACCATGAGCCATTGCTGGATGCTTTGGCAAACAGCCTTTGCCATGGTTACATTGTTCAGAGCAGCACACGCGATCTTGCAACCTTTGCTTGGTCTCTTGCACGTGTCCGCTACAGGGATCAGCCAGTGTTCGGGATGATTTCACGGCATTCCCTGAAGCAACTCTCGAAGCGACTTGCAACACCAATGGATTTGGCAAACTTAGCATGAAGACTTGCCTCCGTTCAGCATCTAGACCCAAAGATCATGGGAGCCATCGTAGCATGTTCCTGTGAGCACATCACGGTACTTGACGCAAGACAGGTGGCAAGCATCGTTTGGTCATGTACGCAGTTGACAGTGGCACACTTACCATTGATGCCACTTCTGGATGCATTGGACAGCCCCTTGTTGGATGACTTACCTGCACAGCAAGTTGGATGGTTAGCTGACTCCATGCCTCTGCTTCCATGTCGTGGACGCCTTCCGGAACGCGTAGCTCAGAGGCTTGGTGCTTCAGTGAACATCTTGGCGGAGAGCCTTTCATCGATGGCCGCAGCTCCTGATGGCTTCAGCGAGACCTCTGAAAGTCTCCGATCTTTTGCCGAGGCCGCGTCGCGTGTTGCAGCAGACCAGCTCGGTGATTCAGGCTCTCGGTTGTTGCTGCGTACTTGTGGCATTGGAGAAATGTCACCAGCTGCAGCCATGGTGCTGAGTCCAGAGCTCCCCGTGGTTCAAAAGGATTCGAAAAGACTTCTAGTAAGAGCATCCTCTATTTTTCACATCAAAATTGGAGAAAGTGAGCTCAAAGGCACTTCTGTTGCCGTAAGTGGAGCCAAGGATGGACTTCGAGGTAATCGTTGGATTTCGCCAGTGCAGCTACCAGTTGCGAAACTCGTTGATCGATCCTTATGCGGAGAGTTTCAGCTGTTGGCAAGGCTTTGTGATGAGATCCTAAGAGGTGACTATGTGAGCTTACCCAGTGATGCTGTCGCGGGGAGCGTTCATCTGTTCGTTACCGCTACGCCTTGCTTATCATGCATCGCAGTTCTATGTCAGTTTCACCGGCTTTTCCCTGAGATCCAACTAGAAGTCTCATGGGATAGCAGTGTTAACCACCTTGCAGGAAAAGGCGTTTCGCATTCGCATGCTTTGCAGACTTGTTGAAGTAAAAGGTTGGTTGGTGCAAGAGGTGGGATGTCTGCATATCCTCAATATTTGACCATATCCCACCCTGGGCTACTCCCAGAATAGCTTAGAAGTATTTATAAGATTTTATCAGTTATAAATTCATATAAATTCAACATCTTATGATATCAATTATGCATCCAGGTACTAAGATGTGATACAATAACTGGTTGGTGGTTTGGATCATTTTTTATTTTTCCATATACTGGGAATAATCATCCCAACTGACTTTCATATTTTTCAGAGGGGTAGGTATACCACCAACCAGTTGCATGTTTGACCATGTTATACCTGTATATATATTATATATATAATATTATATATATACATAGTATCATATTACTGGGGATGCCTATTTTTACTGGGGATGCCAAAAAGATAAGCTGTTGCAGGTAAGTGACGTCCCTGTGAGGCTCGGCGGCTTTCGGTGGGGATGGAGCCTGCCTTGGCGCGTGCCGCCGGCAACAAAGCTGTGGCCTCACAGTTGGAATCTCAGGGATGGGGTAAGCCCCAAAGGAACATGGTGGGTTTTCTAGGGCTAGATATTATATATATATATAAATGATGTACAAACACAAGGACTAATATATGGATTTTGACCTATCTATATTAATAATAGCTAATAATACAAGGATAATATATGATATATATATATATACATATGTACGGATTAATCCAAATATCTATAAATGATGTAACCCCCTAGAAGATGGTGGTATGTCATTCAGTGAAATAGTGTTGTTTTTTGTTTCTGTTTCTTTTCTGTCCAACTACTGGGCTGATGGATGAACCACTCATCAAATCTAAGAAGAACATATGACACCTCCATACCCTCCATACCCTCCATACCGGACCTGGTTTTAGTCATTCCATCATTCCTCCATTCATGGGGATAGAGTCAACTCTGAAAAATATGACACCTCCATACCCTCCATGACCCCATTTTCAATCCATCCCCGAGGAAGTTCGCAGCTGCAGCTGAGCTGTACTGCCTTGGACTGCAACATCCAGACCTGGATCTGCTGGTGCGCCACCGTGGACAGAACATGGGTGAAAATGGGTATGCACCAAAAAAGCCTTTTGAATGGAACAAAAATCATGAACATAGTATATGATAGTCATTGGATTTTGGCATGGCCTATTTTCAGACAGACCCAAGCTGGATTAACGGAAAAAAACATTGAATGTGTCTGGGGTCAAGTATAAGTGTATAACTCAAAATGAACCATGCAAGGTGGTGCCCCCCAGTTATAAGTTGGTTTATAATCCCATTAACTATAGATATATCACCTATAAACCATAGTTATTGGAGTTATAAACCAACTGAACGCTATCGAACGGGGGCACCACCTTGTGTAAACGCCAAATTCTACTTAATCCCAAGACATGGTTCGGTCACTCCCTTCCAGGGTGCCGCAGCTTGCGGCTCAGGTGACGATTCTGTCCAACCGCTGCCAGGCGTCGATGTTCCTGGCCAATCCTTGATAAACCATCTGGGTATGGATCAATACCTATTAATACCATTTTTAGTGGGATGAACATCCATTTACCAGCTATTATGATGTTCACCAGGGGTACAAGGTTTTGACACACTGCCATTTGAAATCCCCATTTTTTCCAAAGGATCCTCATCATTTTCCTCTTGAAATATCTTGACATGATATGAATTAAAGCGAGTTGGGGGTGTACCGAATTTTCAAACACATCCCTGTCTTGAATTTCGAAGACTTTGTGGATTGTGGAGGGGCTGCCATGTTGAGCAAAACACAAGAGGAAGACCCAGCAAGAGGAAGATCATGGTTTTGTACCTGCCCGCTTCGGTGTCATGATTGCTACGTATCATGATTGTGCTCAAGGCGAGTAGTTTGCCAACTTTGACGTTTCCATGCGCGAGTAGCCGCTAGTTGTGGCCATAGAAGATAGAGAAGCCTGTTGCCGGATCCTTGACACAAGGCTGAAAACCAAGTACAAAAAGATGTTTCCACTTCAGCAAAACAACACCAGTAGGGTCGAACAAAGTACAAGCAAACAAATGCAAGCTTGACCCCAACCTGATAGCGACAACTCTGACATGGCAGTGCGGCTATTTCTAGCAGCTTCTGTGCAGGCCTTAAGTCTTCTGCACATACCAATGTGGGGGTTTCCTAAAGTGGGGGATCCCCAAAATCATTTATTTTTTATACTAAAATGGTCTACATAATTTGGATGATTTGGGGGTACCCGCATTTTTGGGAAACCTCCATGCGTCACTCATGGTTCGTAACATGATTGATTTGCTGTTTCGTTCTTTCAGATCCTTCTCTTTGTCCCTTTTTGGGCGCCTGATCCGCGAGCAGATCAGATCCAGCGGATTATGGCATCAACATGGATCTGTTTGATTTGGATTTCGGAGCCAAAATGTCGGCGTCAAAATTCACCAAATACCGAAATGTCAGAATTGGATGACCAGAACCGACCATAACTTGGAGGTATACCCCGATTTTCGGACAGCGACATGGGTCGATTTTGCTAAGGTGCCGATCCTGTGCATTGCACACCGCAGAGCGGCGAAGAACGATGTGCACGAAGCAGAGCTGTACGTTGATCGTGGACTGGAGAAAGGCCTGGAACATTGGGTATTCATGGTGATCGAATGGGATAATTACTGCTATTTATGGTGACTTTAATGGTGACTGAATGGTTTAAACTTCATGGACAGTGGGATATTTCAAACGGTATTTATCATCTTGTATAAATTAATAGTGATGACTGGTGACTTAATAGTGATTTATTGGTAACTTAATGGTGATTTTATGGGATATAGCTACGAAATACAGGGATACAATATAATATCAGAATATATCAGATATACCCTCCGGTAATGGCTAATAGTTTGCTATGGGAAAAATCACTTGAACCAAATTGTATTTTTCCATACATATGCCAAATTAACACAGCGTTATAGGGTGTATAGCCCCAATTGATGGCACTTTTAATCGTTATGAACCAACGGATAACTACTCGTATCCACATTCTATTTTGGTATAGCCGAATTTTCATGATATACCCTCCGGGAATCAAACGTGGCAAGAGAACACCCCCTTCAAATGGAGGTGTTAACGGGAAATCGTCTATAAATGGGCAGTTCGATTGCCATATTTGATTAACAGAGGGTATGACTGGTATGCCCAATTTAAAAGAAGGGAACAGTTGATATTCGCCAACGGAAAGATGGGGTACAAATTGGGACTCTATTTTCAGACAAGCCCGCAGAGAACCCAGACTTAAACGCTAAAACATGATGAGCAAACGATAACAACCAGGTTTATCGAAGATGAATCAGGAAGGACCATCGACATCATTTCCATTCATTTCCAGGGTTTGAAGATTTGGCAAAATTCGGAAAATGTCACTGCTTCCTCAGGCCACGTGCTACAGTTCCTGCCCGCATCGTTGCAAGAGGAGGGTGAGACCTACAGGCACCACATCCTTTTGCCAACATATTTTCATAAACCACTCATATTTTCCTGGCTTATACCACCCATACAGATGGTAAATTTCGGGATGGTTCACTATTGCTACGCAACATCACCGGGAAGCTTGCTGATCTTTTAGACAAATCATTTATATTCTAAGTCATTTGTTATAAGATTTGTGGTGCGTTCGTGCTGGGTTGCATGACGGAGTCATTGATGCTGTTGCCACGGGTTCTCTTTCGATCTCCCCTTCTCATTTTTTCCGATCATTATGACCCTGATTTCAGTAGGCTCCCTTCAGACAGCAATGGCAACAATGGCAACGGTGGCTTGATCTGGGGCATCATCACCGGGGTTGTGATTGTTCTACTGGTGCCAGGCTCAGTGATTCCGTAAGGTAGGTTGGAACGCTGGAAGTACTGTAAACTCCCAGGAAACCTGTCATACCGGAGTCATAGCATATGAAAACATCATGTGATATGAGCTACAGCCAAAATTTACCGTAATGGAAAGTAGTATTCGAGACATCTTTATTTTTTGGAACTTGAGCTGGGGCTTGGAAAACGATAATACACTCTTCAAGAAACGATAATATTTGCTACGTATATTCCCCAAACCTGAAAAACGATAATACACGCTTCAAAAATTGATGACTTGGAGCATCTTGGAGCTATATACTACATATTGACCGTGGCTATATATATATATTTACATCTTTACAGGCATGTCAAAGGACTCATGATTTACCATCTTCTTCCCGAGCTCCAACATTGTGAGGTGTTGTGCAGCTACTGTTATTTCCATTTCAGCCTCCTGCCCGAGCTGGAAGGAGACGGTCAATCAGGCAATGCTCAGGAGCGTGGCATGAAACATCATGAAACACCACCAAGATCCGTTAGAATGGCTGAATATTTGGCATCACTTGAGATGCTGTAGTTGATGCTGACCCTTGCTGTTTCTTTGCACAGCCTTCCAGTTCGCTCTTCGTTTGAGGAGATTGAAGAGGGGGAAAGAGGCGTCGGTCCTCCTCGAATGTCACCTGAAGATGTTGGAGATTCCTCTCCAGATTCTGCAAAGATGGAAGCCGGACAAGTTATGCGCGATCACAGCAGCTCAAAGTTCGAGATTGAGATCGACGATTTTCGCGCTTCTGGTGTGGAATTAGATGGTCAGCCGCCCGATGTCAAAGTTCAGCGCGTTGAAGAAGGCTCCTCGTGCCATTTGCAAGGCTTGCGTGCGGGAGACAGACTGGTCAAAGCTGGTAGTGGGTCGGAAATGATCAACGTAGCGGAAATGGCCCCAGCTGCTTTTCAAGAAGTTCTTCAAGCGCACCCCGTTCGTCTACAATTCCAGCGCTTTGGATTGGATGCCGCAGGCAGCGTCCTGGCGGGTCTTGGTCGCTGGACGCTGAAGGCGAAAAAGGCAGCAGCAGCTGCGATGGCCCAGGAGGAAGATGAAATCCAAGCACCACAGGATCCACAGGATCCACAGATCGCAGCAGGTGAGAAGGATTGGTCCGATGGCATCCCAGAGGTTGAGAAACGGGTCTTTCCACGACCAAATTTGGTGAGATACAAATGGGTCTTGCGCACCTGCTTCGAACATGATTGGAAGTTCATACGCCACTTGTCTGACTGAAATGTGGAGACTAGTGATGAATAGTCCCTTCCCCCTAATATTCAACACCCCCAAACGGAACCATGGCTTAGTAAGGAATTTCCACATAATTGGGACCATAGATTGGGGGTGTTAAATATGAATGGGGGATGGGATTACTGATGACTACTGTTGTGATTTGTTGCTGACATGGCCAGCCAAGGTCTACGACTAGTGCGAGATCTGAAGTTTACTGAAGCAGAAGCAGATGAGGCATGGAGGGATCACTGAAGCTGATACCCAATGAGGCAATGAGAGACACTCTACAAAATCTTGCCGCATGTGATGTGCAAAGAAGGTCAACGTCCAGATTCGCAGCTTGTGAGGCAGAGCAATGCCTGAGAACGAAATACATGCTGCTTGGCTTTGTGGACTTTGGTGCCTTCTGCCGACGATACTCACTAGTCAGTCCTTCCGTTCCTTTCGTTAATTTCACACACTTTCAGAGCTAACAAATCCACCAAACTGATATACCGTAATTGTAACCCCAAGAATGGCCCATTTTTGGAATCAATCGATCTTGTATTTGGCAGGGTCTATGTTAGTTGGGGGGTTGGTAGCATCTTGAAGTATTTGGTCAAACTGGCACACAGATCTTGGAATGTGTGAGTAGCCTCTAGTCTACAGCTAGCAGCTAGCAGCTCAGGTGGGTCCTACCACTGTACCGAAAGCTGTCCTCAGAAGAGACGAGCGAAGGTGGCTCCTCACCGGATCATATCAGTCAGTGTCTTGGACAAGTTGGTGCCATCGGAGACGCTCCATGGTTGACAAAAGGACGAAAGAAGGAACGGACTGCCATGGTTGAAGCGGGTCACAAGTCTTTGCCAGACCACTTGCCGCAATTTTTGTCCATTTTACTGCCTGGATTCTCGAAAACACCGATAGCTTTTCGCCGGACTAAACCCAACAGATGAAAGCCTTGCTTCTCAAAACCAAAGGTTTGGTGTGAGCAAGCGGTCCCTCATGAGGATCCTGGGGCCGGAAGGCCACTCGTTTGCAGAGCAGTGAGTTTGGGTCGAAACAATAGCAGCCACTGTTATATGAAAAGTACAACATCAACCCCCGACGAATGAACCCTGATTGCTTCAAAAAAAGGTGGAATACCACCAAAAAGCAAGTTCGCTTCCACTTAAACAAACGCCCACGCCAAGGTATCAACATCTTCGACAAGGCCACCATGACGCAAGCCAAAGCCAGCGAGCTGTACAAGCAAGCGAATTGCGTGCCCCAAGATGTTGCGGGATTCAAAGTGCCTTGACATGGGGAGAATTGACCAAGAAACAGCAAGGACCTCGAATTTTAGGAGGATTTAGGAGGTATTTACCAAAACATGTGGAAGTTTCCTAAGTCATGGGGGTACCCCCAAAGCATCCAAAGTTAGACCATTTTAGTATTAAGGCCTATGCTTTTGGGGATCCCCGCGAATTAAGAACCCCCCATGTGAGGATATTGACCAATTTATATAGTCCAAAGACGTGGGAATATTGAATGCCAGCAGTCAAGGAATATCAGCAGCATTCAGCTGCCAATGAGAAAGACCACAGACGGACCAGCCACATTTGTTTTTGGATCGTGTCCATCCAACTTTTTTTGGGGCCATTACCCTCTGGTAATTTAACATAGCTATTGAAAATGGCCATTTATAGTGGATTTTCCCATTAAAAATTGTGATTTTCCATAGTTATGTTAGTTTACCAGAGGGTACCCAGGTTTGACCCCCCCAAGCCCATAGAGACCTCACCATCCGAGATGCAGGTGAGATGCGATGCTATGCTCTGCCGCTTTCAGCTGCTTCACTTCTTCATCGAATTTGGAGTCTAGTTGGGACTTTTTTCATGATCATTTGAAACATTTGTGATTGCTCTGCTTTGAGATTACATGAAATTACTGCTTTGAGGTTTGCTGAGTTGTTGGTGCGAATTGCCATTTGCAAGTGGCCTGAGAAGTCGAAGGCTGGGTACAGGGAAGTTTGATCTACATCAGTCGGAACAGCCTCTTCCAATCTCCATGTTGCAGCCAGGCTTTGTCCAACATAGATCAACATACCCCGAACTGGACACTTGAATGCGTTTATATTCATTACTCATTGCATTACATAAAATCCATCGGAATTCCATTGGAATATGAATCCATACATCATTTATCAACATTTATGTCATATTCATGTCTATGTAATAGAACAAGTTTTATCCATATTAATTTACTAATCTACTAATCCATATAGGATATTTTGAATAATACATAGTAAATATGTCATATCATGGATTATTAGAGATACTTGAATATAAATTGATTACGTCATATATTTGATTACGTCATGGATTTCTATGTCATATTTATCCATATATATATATATTTATCCATGATATTATAATCCCAGATATTAATCCATATACGATAGTGTATCATATAAATATATGGGATTATAATATCTATTTGTATAAATGTATCATATATCCATAACCCATGTATCATATTTATCCATATATTAAATATAATCCCACCATGTATTCACCGAACCCATACTGAGAACGCCAGGCGGAATCCTTGGAGAGTCTCTTCGAGGCTGTGATTCAGGTGATTTATGGAAAAATCCTATGGTGGGACCAAGAAAAATGGAGGAATTACAGAGTAAACATGGATGTTTATTGGATATATACTGGGTATATAGTGAGTATTTATGGATGTTTATTGGATATAGAATGGGTAACCCAAATGGGTATATATTATATTAACTATAGGTATGAATTATATTGTTGCCAACTCATTGGTACTCGTAACGAACAAAAATGGATGAATGAATCTGTTACGAAAGGCACCTATTCTGAAATAATCTTTTTCAAGGGTTCCCATACCGCCAATTTTTCACGTATTGGCATGATGCAAATGAGCATGTGTGCTGTCTCATCTTGTGGCACGCTTCCTTAGTCAGTGGCCCTGCAGGAACTTGCAATACTCTGCCAAAAGTACAGTTCACCCCTCAGCGACTCCACGACTTGTCACATCTGGTCATCGCTGCTGTTCATGTGCGACGACGCTGAGGCGGAGACATGCGAGAACTGATCACTTCAGGATCAACCGATGAAGTACAAGCAGTATACGAGGCCGTAGAGCCACAAACGTGACTTGGCTGGCCATGCCAATGAGTCTTTCTGATTTTTCTCAGAAAACCTGAGATTCCGACTATTCCGAAGAACCTGGCAGAGCGCTCAGGTGGGCTGTCTTCGTGGAAATGGCATCTGTACATGAAAACGTGCAACTTGCGCAGCAAACAGGAGCCGCATGGAGCACAGCAACCCAAGCTGTGAAATGTCATTATGTCTGATTTCCTTGCCCTTGGCTCCTGCATTGAGGCACGGTGAAAAATTCATGACCTTGGAAGATTGGAGAGACTTGAAAGCAACCAGAAGTTGCCGCTTGTCAAGGACTCGAGCGCCTTTGATGCAGACTTTTGATTCATGAGACCGCAAGAATATTTCGCCGAGGAAAGCTGCTAAATCGGATGAATATCTTCGTCCTCTATCCGGTGGTCAAGAGGACTGACAGAGATAGTCAGAGATAGTCAGAGACTGTTAGAGGATGAGCTACTGAAGTTGTTACGCCAGGAAGTATGGGGCCTATACTTACCGCATGGGACTTGAACCTCAAGCAGATGAGTGGCGCTGCTGATTGGAACGTTTCAAAAGTTCTTGCCAGTTTCTCCTTTCCCAATTTGCAGGCAGTTTTCTCAAAGTCTCTCAGTGTCTTGTTTGAAGTCATGATTGCATCCGTTTTTTTTTTTAAACGTGCTAAGCAGTTTTTCACCAAGGCAGTATAACAAGACGTGGCAATTGATGAGTTTTTTGGAATTCCAGCGTGCTTTGGGCGCGGTGATGTTTTTGAGCGAGATGCGGCCCAAGAAGGCGCCACTTTTTGCGGCCGATGGTTGGCGCATCTAGATGATAAAGCCATGACGATTTTGTGGTTGATATATGGGTATGGATCAATACCTATTAATACCATTTTAATGACAGCGATAATTTTAGATTGACTCTGTTGATTGATAATGTTGATTGACACTGTTCATTGATAACGTTGATTGACAATGTTGATTGACACTGTTGATGGATAATGTTGACTGATACTGTTGATTGACAACGTTGATTGATAATGTTGATTGATACTGTTGATTGACAACGTTGATTGATAATGTTGATTGACACTGCTGATTGACAATGTTAATTGATAACGTTGATTGACAATGTTGATTGGCACTGTTGATTGATAATGTTGATTGATACTGTTGATTGATACTAATGAGTCATACTGTTGATTGACAATGCTGATTGACTATGTTGATTGATAATGTTGATTGACACTGTTCATTGATAACGTTGAATGACAACGATAATGTTGATTGACACTGTTGATTGATCATAATGATTGGCACTGTTGATTGACACTGTTGATTGATAATGTTGATTGACTTGACAATGTTGATTGACACTGTTGATTGATAATGTTGATTGATACTGTTGATTGACAACGTTGATTGATAATGTTGATTGACACTGCTGATTGACAATGTTAATTGATAACGTTGATTGACAATGTTGATTGACACTGTTGATTGATAATGTTGATTGATAGTGTTGATTGATACTAATGAGTCATACTGTTGATTGACAATGCTGATTGACTATGTTGATTGATAATGTTTATTGACACTGTTGAGATTGATAATGTTGATTGACACTGTTCATTGATAATGTTGATTGACACTGTTGATTGATAACGTTGATTGACAATGTTGATTGACACTGTTGATTGATAACGTTGAATGACAACGATAATGTTGATTGACACTGTTGATTGATCATAATGATTGGCACTGTTGATTGACACTATTGATTGATAATGTTGATTGACACTGTTGATTGATACTAATGAGTCATACTGTTGATTGACAATGCTGATTGACTCTGTTGATTGATACTGTTGATTGACACTGTTGATTGACACTGTTTATTGACACTGTTGATTGATACTGTTGATTGACAACGTTGAATGATAAGGTTGATTGACAATGTTGATTGACAATGTTGATTGATAACGTTGATTGACAATGTTGATTGACACTGTTGATTGATAATGTTGATTGATACTGTTGATTGATACTAATGAGTCATACTGTTGATTGACAATGCTGATTGACTCTGTTGATTGATAATGTTGATTGACACTGTTGAGATTGATAATGTTGATTGACACTGTTCATTGATAATGTTGATTGACAATGTTGATTGATAACGTTGATTGACAATGTTGATTGACACTGTTGATTGATAACGTTGAATGACAACGATAATGTTGATTGACCCTGTTGATTGATCATGTTGATTGGCACTGTTGATTGACACTGTTGATTGATAATGTTGATTGACACTGTTGATTGACAATGTTGATTGACAATGTTGACTGACACTGTTGATTGACAATGTTGATTGACACTGTTGATTGATAATGTTGATTGACACTGTTGATTGACACTGTTGATTGACAATGTTGATTGATACCGTTGATTGACAATGTTGACTGACACTGTTGATTGATAATGTTGATTGACACTGTTGATTGGCAATGCTGATTGACACTGTTGATTGATAATGTTGATTGACCCTGTTGATTGATAATGTTGATTGACAATGTTGATGGATGATGTTGATTGATTGTGGTGATTGATGATGTTGATTGATAATGTTGTTGGATAATGTTGATTGATAATGTTGATTGACAATGTTGATGGATAATGTTGATTGACAATGTTAATATACACTGTGCATGGATAATGTGTATTGACACTGTTGATTGATAATGTTGATTTTCAATGTTTATTGACAATGTTGATTGATAATGTTGATTGACACTGTTGTTTGGCACTGTTGATTGACACTGTTGGTTGCTAATGTTCATTGACAATGTTGATTGATGATGTTGAATGACAATGCTGATTGACACTGTTACTTGATAATGCTGATTGATAATGTTGATTGATAATGTTGATTGATACTAATAATTGATACTGTTGATTGATAATGTTGATTGATACCGTTGATTGACATTGTTGATTGACACTGTTGATTGATAATGTTGATTGACACTGTTGATTGACACTGTTGATTGATAATGTTGATTGACACTGTTGATTGACAATGTTGACTGACACTGTTGATTGACAATGTTGATTGATAATGCTGATTGATGATGGTGATTGATAATGTTGATTGATAATGTTGATGGATAATGTTGATTTACAATGTTGATTAATAATGTTGATTGATAATGTTGATTGACACTGTTGATTGATAATGTTGATTGGCACTGTTGATTGACACTGTTGATTGATAATGTTGATTGACACTGTTGATTGACAATGTTGATTGACAATGTTGATTGACATTGTTGATTGATAACGTTGACTGATACTGTTGATTGAGAATGTTGATTGATACTGCTGATTGATGATGGTGATTGTTAATGTTGATTGATCATGTTGATGGATAATGTTGATTAATAACGTTGATTAATAATGTTGATTGATAATGTTGATTGACACTGTTGATTGATAATGTTGATTGACACTGTTGATTGACATTGTTGATTGATAACGTGGACTGATAATGTTGATTGGCACTGTTGATTGACACTGTTGATTGATAATGTTGATTGACACTGTTGATTGATAATGTTGATTGACAATGTTGATTGATAATGTTGATTGATGATGGTGATTGATAATGTTGATTGACAATGTTGATGGATAATGTTGATTGATGATGGTGATTGATGATATTGATTGATAATGTTGATTGATGATGGTGATTGATGATGTTGATTGATAATAATGATGGATAATGTTGATTTATAATGTTGATTAATAATGTTGATTGACAATGTTGATTGACATTGATAACGTTGACTGATAATGTTGGTTGATAACGTTGATTGACACTGTTGTTTGATACTGTTGTTTGACACTGTTGATTGATAATGTTGATTGATGATGGTGATTGATGATGTTGATTGATAATGTTGATTGTCACTGTTGATTGACATTGTTGATTGATGCCGTTGACTGATAATGTTGATTGGCACTGTTGATTGACACTGTTGATTGATAATGTTGATTGACACTGTTGATTGACAATGTTGATTGACAATGTTGATTGACATTGTTGATTGATAACGTTGACTGATAATGTTGATTGATAATGTTGATTGATAATGTTGACTGATGATGGTGATTGATAATGTTGAATGATAATGTTGATTGACACTGTTGATTGACAATGTTGATGGATAATGTTGATTGACAATGCTGATTGACAATGTTGATTGACAATGTTGATGGATAATGTTGATTGATGATGGTGATTGATGATATTGATTGGTAATGTTGATGGATAATGTTGATTTATAATGTTGATTAATAATGTTGATTGACAATGTTGATTGACAATGTTGATTGATAATGTTGATTGATAATGTTGATTGATACTAATAATTGATACTGTTGATTGATAATGTTGATTGATACCGTTGATGGACATTGTTGATTGACACTGTTGATTGATAATGTTGATTGACACTGTTGATTGACACTGTTGATTGGCACTGTTGATTGACACTGTTGATTGATAATGTTGATTGACACTGTTGATTGATAATGTTGATTGACAATGTTGATTGATAATGTTGATTGATGATGGTGATTGATGATGTTGATTGATAATGTTGATGGATAATGTTGATTTATAATGTTGATTAATACTGTTGATTGACAATGTTGATTGACCTTGTTGATTGATAACGCTGGCTGCTAATGTTGATTGATAACGTTGATTGACACTGTTGATTGATAATGTTGATTGAGACTGTTGATTGACATTGTTGATTGCTAATGTTGACTGATAATGTTGATTGAACTTGATTCATTTTGATCTTGCATTAAAATTCTCAGATCTTCAGTCTTCTGGCAGGAGTGCAAGCCGGACATCTTGGCGGCGCTACTGCAGAGCCTTGGCAAGAGGGGAGTTGCTGGTCAGCCAAGTTCCAACGTTCCAATGTGTCTGTGCAATGGCTTGGTATCTGAGGAAGATAGCGACGGAGAACCTGAGTGGCTTGACTGATCTTGACTGGAATGCGGTTTAAGATGGCATAACATACCATAGCATACCATAAGATATCGGTTGAGAGTGCTCTTGACATCTTGACACTTTAACATATGTACTTTAGCTCCAACTAACTCCAAGCTGAGGTCAAATTGCTACTGCGAAGTCCAGGCGAAAAAAGAACAGTGTCCAAGCCGCAAGGGCTCCAGGGTGTTATTTGATGTTATTTATCATTCTCTGATATTTTTGGGATGATTGAACCAAATTGCCTATAATTTTTGAATGATCTTTGGATTGAAACCAGCAGCCATTTTCGGAATCCCCCGTTGGGTTTTGGGCTCGTGGGCATGATCGTCAGCTTCACTGAGGCGTCCTTGAGGGCAAGACCCACAACTAGCCGACTCAGCACAAAGTGCGAGTTGCGCCAGTAGGGCTCGGTAGGGCAAAAAGCTGGATGCGGCGCTGCCTGTCGTGCCAAGTTTTTTTTGGGGGGCATGTCAGGCACACTGTCAGGGCCTTTCAGGGACACCTAGTGTGCCAGGCGCACCTGAAAAGCCGAGACTATGGCGCTGCTGTGTGCGACGCGGCATTGGTATTGCAGACAAGAAATGACGCCAAGGCGACTCGTGGACTCGTGGAGTCGTGGAGTCACTGCAATGCCTTTTGCTGATCAGTGGCTGCTCATGCTGCTCCAGGCCTGGGCCAGATACAACCAAGCCTTGAGAGGCCGCTGATACGATTTATGAACAGCTCCTTTTGAGCAGATGAATCCCCAGATGAATGCAGTTTATTTCTATTTATTTCATGTTATTTCATGTTATTTCTACTTTTGGTTGTCCTGGCCGTTCCTATCAAGAGCAGAAGGTCCTTAGTTCCTGCAGTTCCAACCTGAACATATCTGAACTGTGTGAGGCTTGAAAGCAGAACATCTGGCATCGCGAGTGGATGGTCTCCTCCAAGATCCCCTTGAGGCTGCATGACGCTGAAACTTTCATCAAAGTGAAAACCACATCACATTGCGTGTCCTGTTGAATCAGCATGTTCCCTTCAATGAGACTGAAATATACTGAAATGAGATCAGGCCGAAGTTATGGAGTGGAGAGCAGTGACCAAAGCTGCGGTCAAAGCCGCAATTGATTATGCAGCTCAAGGCTCGGGGGTGCCTACGCCTCTTTGGAAAGGATGGGAGGACCTTGGAGGACCTCTGAATCTCCGAAAGGTTGAGATGTCGAAGTGCCAAACAATTTGGGTGAAGTTATTGTTCTATATTGTTGTATACTGTATAAATAAATAAACATAATATATATATATATAGTATAATATATGTACAAATATATAATTTCATAATGAGATCCAGAATTTTCTGGTCAGTCTTCGGTGTAGGCCCTTGCAACGTGGTGAAGCCCGGAAGCCTTGTGGCAGCAAAGAGGGCAGTGGAGAATGCCAAGGACCCACCGGAGCCCCGCAGTCGTGATGGTGCCATAATGCAGTGATGATACGCAACACCTGCAATCAGTAGATTCAGTAGATGTTCAACATAGATATGACATGATATGGCAGTGTGTCAAAACCTTGTACCCCTGGTGAACATCAAAATAGCTGGTAAATGGATGTTCATCCCCCTAAAAATGGTATTAATAGGTATTGATCCATAGCCATATGAATTATATTGTTCGTGTAGTGGTTCGTGAATTGGTGTGTGTTTGAAACTCTTCAATATCTTCAATGGGTCTGTACGTTACTGCTGCGTTGCATGGTCCTTTTTGATCTTTTTGCTGACCTGTTGTGAGTGGGCGCTTGAAAAGAAGAGAGTTCTGTGTCTGATGTTGAACTGCAATCTGCAGGAAGCAGCCAACAACGAGTGCCCCCGTCGCATGGCTTTTCAACAGTTCAGTGGCGAAGGCTTTTCTGACTGATAGGTACAAGCGTGAGGACTTTGTGGCGGCGGTTGAAGGCCTCAAGTTGGTGCGTTCAGTGCGTTTCTCGTGTTGACTGATGTTCATTGCCACATTCAAAAATCCGTCATTTCTTCATGCCTACGACTTCAAGCGTTGGATATTGTGGTACATTTTGCCCGAAAGCCTCACAAGCCCAGTGCAAAACAAAACCGTTCGCTGCGTTGCAGGCTACACCCGAGCGCTCGCGTGTGATCCCGCCTTGGAAGATGCCGCCGCGATCCTTGGGAATTTGGCACACTGCAGGCGCCCCATTTTGACATCCAACGTTGGAAGCTGGTTTTGACTGGCAGATTGAACATGTGCAAATGGGCTTTACATACGTAGCTTTGATCCTTGTAGCCTTTCCACTGATACGTTCGAACATTTAGTGCCTTCTGCTCTTTGCTGAGCATTTTGGCATGGAGGCTTTGTCTTGGGCAGCCGCATTGTGCAGAGCTTACTTTTGTTCAGCGTAGTCTTGAAACATGGCGTGTCAAACACCTCGCATACCAAATATGAATGAATTAACATCCAGAACAACCAGCATCAACCAGCTGCTTTTGTGTGCAAACAGGTGCCATCGCCGCTGCGGTGGGGTGCCTGCGCTTGCGACCAGCTTGGACGGTTGCAGTGAAGGTGCGCAGCCTTTCACCCTAGAATTCTTGGGGAAGATTGCGGAAACTCCATTTGACCATATTAACTTCTCAAACATATTTCATTAATCATAGAATTGGGTGATGGGAACATTTACAGGAAAGCCCATCAAATTTGATGGTAAAAACCCATGGGTTTCCGGTTACGATTTTCCCAACAAAACCAATCCAGTGAATTAAACATCATATCGGAAAATGACTGGTTGGTGGTTTGGAACATTTTTTATTTTTCCCATCATATTGGGAATATCATCATCCCAACTGACGAACTCATATTTTTCAGAGGGGTAGGTATACCACCAACCAGATGAGCAATGAGATCCAATAACTTAGATGATTCTTGGAGTCCTAGACCTAGAAACCGCTTCTAATCTCCATCGCTCGGCGTAGGCCTTGCACCGTCTCTCTGCGGCCTTGGCTCTGGCAGGCCCCCCTTTTGGGGGGTTGAACACAGGGCTTTCCAAAAAAATGGGGGTGGTAAACAAACAGTTTGCTATTGAACGTGGCCATAGAAATAGATGAAATAGATTGAACTAGTTGATTTACCCACTAAATAGCTGGTGATTTTCCATATGTTAGTTTACCAGAGGGTACCTCCAAATCATCCAAGCACTGAGACGATGATTTTGTATTGAAACCCATGGTGGCTTGGGGATCCCCCATCTTCAAAAAGCCTAATGATATGGTTTAGCTACCAACACAGGATGTACCCTCTGGTCAGCTCCATGGCTTGCTGGCAGGCTGGACTTGATCCACTGATGATCTGGATGATATTTCTGAATTTTTGATGGGGATCTTCCATGGCCTTGTTTGATTCGAAGGTAACTATGGAGGATGTGACCAGCAATACGAGGCAGCTACTATACTAATACCAACTACTATGGAACAACGTGCCTAGTTTGCCAACACTACAGGATATAACTCCACACCTTCACTTAAGCAGCAGGAATGGGACTATACAACCCAGCAAAACTAGGTGATGTTTTTTTCCACATCCCTTCCGGGATCAGGGATGATGATCGACACTTACTTTTTTAGAGCTAGGGTTTGAACATGTTTGAACTTAAACCAAAAACCAGGGAATGATGATGCAATATGATGCAATGCATTGCACTTCTCAGGATGTTGGAAGATGTGTGAGAAATCGACTCTAGGAGAGCTCGCAATGGCTGACGAGTCAGCTCAGCAGTGCAGCACTTAGTTGGACATCATGCAAACCAAAGTCACTGACAAACAGCAGTCCGGTCCAGTGTGGTGTTGGTCTCATTGCATCGAGCGATTGCTTCTTTTTTGTGAAACACGCACGCATCATGCAATAAGGTTCGATGCTGCCATTCCAAGCGGCGACGTTGTTTGCCTGCAAGAAGTGCCTGACGCATTCCTGTGCACTAGGTCCCTGGAATCATTCGCCTCATAACTTGTTGTCCCATTTTGTGGTATGACAAAGCGATACAAACAGAATTTGTTGTTCACGAAGTTTACGGGTCCCAAGGCTGGAATCGAGACTGCTCAAAGACAATGCGAGAAATTGGTTCATCTCAGAGCTCTCCTCGAAGGAATTCGGAAGGGTGGTGCGATCGATCCGGATGCCCTGTGCATGTCGACCCCCTCCATGGCTTTAGATTACTGTGGACCCATCCAGCTGAAGGATGGAGTGCGAACCACTCAGAAAGTGAGCAAAGGTGCATTGCTTTTACTGGTGCGGCCACTTGGTGGACTATCTTCTGAAGCAGAGAGCCGGACTTTGCAGGAAAGAACTATGCAAAGGATTCAACATTCCAACGCTTTGTGCAAGCGCTTGAGTTACTTCTGCAGCGTTGACATTGCAACCAAAGAAGTTGCCGAGTTTCTGCGGAATCTGCCCAGTGAGCCAACCCAAGAGATGTGCATCGAGTGGTTGCTGCTTTCGGGCCAACGACCTCAACTTCTGCCACTCCTTGGCCAGCGCCATGAAGTGTGGAGCTGCCGGACGCCCAAGCTGGACGGTTGGGCGTTGGATGGCATCATCGAACGCTACCGGAGGTCCTTTCCATCGAGGAAGCGTCGCTTCGGGATTTTCCCCGCCTTAGAAGTCTTCCACAGCGCAGCTGATGTGGCCAAGATGGCCAACTGTCAGCTGGTGCCCTGTGGTGAGGCCATTGCAGTTATGACCTCAGATGGTGGCAGCTTGGATAGTGATAGTGAGCCAGGAGGCACAACAATGGAATTGTTTCCCTGACATTTGCGACTTTCTAGAAAAATCAACAAGATGCTAATCCTTGCGACAGGATCACTAGGCAGGGCCACTTGGTTCCAGTTTCTCTTAGCGACTGGAACCCAGGTCGTTGCAGCAGAGGAGCTTCAAAGTGAACAAGCACTCCTGCTGCCAGCTGGATTTAAAAGCTAGACTGAAAAGAGATGGCGAGCATCAGATTGGTGACAGCATGTAGGTGACAGCATCTATCGATTTCATATTGCTGATCATTCATGCACTCTCTTCCGATTCGACATTATAGCCATATTAGCCATTTGCAGGCAGCGCCGCTGTACATTTGCCAGAAGCGCTGCAAGGTGCTTCACGTCCCAGAAATGGATGCGAGCCACACTTTTTGGACCATTAAACTAGACGGTTCAATACTCGAAGTGACAGGACTTCTAGGTCCATTGACACCCGAATTTTCCAATAATTTTGATGCATACCCCAACCTCTGTTGTGAGTTTGGAATTGGCAGTTCAGCATTGGCAGAGTTCAGAGAACTGGACTTGTTTGCCTGCAGGTGGCACAGGCTGCTGTGGAAGAAGCTGGGTACTCCATGATGACTGGTTCCAAGGAAATGCCTGCCATTCATGATCATATGGGTCCTGGCAGTGACAGGATTGATTTGAATGATGATCCCAACATTAGTTTACACATGTTTACAATGATTATCCGAGATTTGTTCTTCGCGATTTAAGGACAGGATTGTGATGATCAGCCAGGATTTATCCATGATATTCCCTATTTTTTCATCTCTATCCACACACAATTGATATTCATCCATATAAATCCTAGAAAGAGGTTGTTTTGACATGTTTTCAGCTGCCATGAGCTGCCTCAGGAGGATACGGAGGAGCTGAACAAGCAATACGCTTTGCGGCTCCAAGAGTTTCAGGATGCCAGGAAAGAAATGGCGAAAATTGCGGCCAAGAAGAATGTGCCATGGCGCCATAACTATGGTGACGCAGATGATAACACTTTGGTTTTCATGTGGAAAATCAATGAACATCATCTTTCGAATGGCGATAGAATGAACAAAAACATGGATGCCCATTTAAGTTTGGGTTTATCTAGTTTATCACTGGATATAATATGATATAATTAATACGTTATTTGGGGAAAACTATATGGTAAACTTGTTAAACTGATAAACCATGTTTGTATTGGTGCCTTGACATCAGACAAACATAGACAAACCGTAGCAGCCAAGGCTCCATCAGAAGACATGATGGCAGCAGTGGCTCCATACTTCGAAGCAGAGGCACATTGCGCCGCGCCACTGCGCGGTCGCTGTATGACTCAGAATCGAGGGATTTCCAGGACGTACCCTCTGGTAATTTAACGTAGCTATAGAAAATCACCATTTTTCATGGGAAAATCCACTATAAATGGGCATTTTCCATAGTTACGTTAAATTACCAGAGGGTATTCCATTCATATTCCGAGAAAAATTGCATTTCTATCAATACATCTCAATAATATGTCCATTCTATTTCCATGATATTTTCAGGACATATTCCATTCGTCCCATTCTTTTCCCATCCCAACATCATACAACATTATCCCATATGTTCCCATCTTTTCCCATCTAAACACTATACCCTCTGGTAATTTAACAGTTCGCTCTTGAAAATGGCCTATTTATAGCTGATTTACCCATTAATAGCATGGTGATTTTCCTATCGTTATGTTAGTTGATCATAGTTTACCATGGTGATTTTCCATACTTTACCATAGTTTACCATAGTTTTTTAGCCGAGCCTACTCCCAGTTGATCTCGTTGATCTCCAGGAGGAGCACCGTGGCCAAGTCTCGGAGGAAGACGCGCAGGAGCAGCTGCTGCGCCAGGTGCTGGTCCAGGCCAAAGCCAGGTACCACGGCGCCTTGCGGAGCCTGGAGAACTTGAGCAATCAGGCGGGCTGCCGAGCTGGCTGCCGAGCTGGTCACGAAAGTGACCCTCTGGTAAATATACAAAAAAACTATGGAAAGATCCACCATTGATAGTAGGTAAATCAACTATCAATGGGCCATTTTCAATAGCGAACTGTTAAATTACCAGAGGGTACTGGTAGCTGCTGAAGTATCTGAAGTATCTGAAGTCACAAAGAGTCACCCTTGCTAAAGAGAGCATCTTGGTCTGGAATCTCCAGTTAAAACCATGTGAAAACCATGTTATACCACCCTAAAACCCTAAACTCCCCTCCCCTCGGGCTGGCTGGTTCATAAGCACTTTGGCCGTGGCTCAATCCCCCGCAGGGACATGCAGGGACACGGTCGGCATGTCGCCACTAGCTTTCGTCCCTTACCCCTGGTTTATCCATCAACAACTAGTGAAACATGGTGTTAAACTACCATAATTAGATCATCGAGATTTGACATGATTTAACCATCGAACATGGGGATAATGGCGGCCTTTTAACCCAATCCCAGGGTGGGAGACGCAGAGGTTGATGACGTTAAACGAAAAACTCGCCAACCACGGCAATACGAAGCAACAAAGCATGGAGAACTAACAAAACCAACCAAAAAGTGGATTTCAAACGGCTTGAACCTGACAAAAGTGCTCTTTTGCACCACCAAATGAGAATTAAAACCCCAGTTTCGCACGTTTTTCTGATCTCATCCGTACATTAACTCACCAAGTGCGACCTGTGGGCCGTAGCTCTAGGCTCATCTTCGACGGTCAAGCAGTGGCGGCCTGGATGCGGTGAGCCGTACTGGCACCAATGAGACCGCGCATCTGGCATGTTTTGGGTGCGATTCTGGCAGCCATGGCTCCAAAAAATATTGCTGGCTGACCCCATCCACAAGAATATGGTGGGTGAATTGATAGCATAGTGATTTTAGGCATATCCACAGTGAGTCCAGGAATTCAACATCGGAAAAACATCGAGATATCCGCAATGATCTGCATGTGGACGGCAGGATCGCCAAAGCTGCTCGCATGGGCCTGAGAGGTTCGGATGATTCATTGATTAGTGGTCCAAATCCCTATGAGTGGGGGGAAGACCAGCATCACCACCAGCTAAGCTACTTGAAATAGGTGGCTTATCATGAGCCCTGAGGAAAAGAAGCCCAGTTCAGACGCCTGAGAGGCCAACCCGACACAGTCAGGTTTGTCTGAACATTGAAATCGCATTATTGATGGCTACTTCTTTAACTCTGAGGGTCTACTAGGTATCACAATTTTCTCTATGAATTCCTATAATCAACTGGCCATTTTTGGGTAAGAACACACAACTGGACCAGCCCACAACTGGACACATGGCTGCGCAGCGGCACTTGGAAGGCCAATGGCAAGCAAAGTTTTGCCTGGCAAGAGCACCGCAGATTCCAGGCAGCAGATTTGGCAAAACCTGCACAGACGGACAATGAGAAAATCTACTGAAAATCTATCTTCCTGATCCATTTCAAAGCGTGAAAGAAAAGGCAATAACCTGCATTTTGAAAACTGGTACAATGGTTAAATGGTACATGGAATAAAATCACATATATACTGTCATGAATGGTCAATCACAAGATCAGTCAGTTGATGTTTCATGATGGTAAGTCGTCATACATCATTTTGTCGGTGGTATTCATCCCTTTGCTTTCTTTAGGATGACCCCACTTTAGGATGACGATCGTTTCGCATTTTTTGTGTGTCTGAAAATGACATAACATGAACACATCTCCCCCAACTAGCCAGAAAAAACCCATGGTGATCATCCTCAATTAGCCAGAAACCAAAAAACGACCGAAGAAAAAGGCGCCGGTGGACTTCAACGCGCCTGCAGAAGGACGGGGAGACATGCTGACTTCGGATGACTTCGGGGAGATTTTCCCTGGGAAAAAGATGGAAATATGGTGATTCGGAACTCCAAACATGCTGACTTGAGTCTGATGATGTTTGGCAAATCTTCAAATGTGACAGAAGGAGTCAGCATTTCAATGCATTTCACTTATGCGAGGACGTCTTCGGAGAAAACTCTGAAGATCTGGCTGAAGAGATTGAGGATGAAATGCCTCCAAGCTAACAAAAAGTTGCAAAGGCAGACCAGCCAATGCCTTATGTTTTGCTTGTGCTGTTTTAGGTTGCAACACGTCTATTCCCCATTGTTTCTGTTGATCGTATCATGACATTCAATGTGTACACAATGTCAAGCAAACAAGCGATGAATTTGGTGAGTCAGAATGGATTCCTGCGCATTGTGCACTTCAAAGATGCAGATGATTTCATATGATTCTAAAATTTGTTGATGTACAATGATTGTTATGGATTAATTATGGATATTCAATCTATAGATCAACAAAATGTATGTGAGTCATGTTTGGACAACGATCCATCATATGTACACATGATCTACAGAAATCTATTAGACAGATTACACCAGAATTTTACATGGGCTATCCATTGCTATAAACGAACATCGCGAAAATCCTTGGCTCAAGACAGTCAAAACGCCATGCCGAACGGCCTGGCTTAGCCGGACGCACCATGGCCAGGTCAAGACCGTGCATTTTTGAGAGGAACATCATCGATGTAATGTTGGCAAAGCAATGCCATAAACCAATATAAACCATCCATATTATGATGGTTACTAGGTAAGACCACCCATAAAAATTGTAAAATTGGGGATGGTTTACTATTGCTTTTCAAAGATTATTATATATACATGGACCATATGGATATAAAGGTGGGGACTGTTCCATTCTGCAGGTAGATTATCAGAGGGTGATTACAGATATTACAGTTGAGTTCTCCATGGCTCAATCATGCTCAATCTATTTGTGACACGTTTCTTGTCGATGAACAGCCCAGAAGCAGAGCAGCTCTGTTTTTCTTGTGACATCATCATATCCTAACCTTCTTGATCCTTTCTTTCAGCCAGGTTTGGCATTTGCTACCTTCCAAAATGGGTTGTCGGTGTCCCCAGCGGATTCGTCAGATGGCTGGATACCACTTTCGTCACTGAAACAGCTGTCCGGTCCAACGAGGTGATTCATAATCCTCGGCTGTTTCTGCTGTGCGCCACTGGTGAAAATGCTGTTAACCATTGGGATACCATTGGGATACCATTGGGGTATACCATTGGGTGCTGAACCAATAGGGCTAGCATTCTGATCATTCTGCTGGTGCTGGGCATATCTGGGCATGACAGGTACTGGTTTCTAGTGCTCTTCCTTTGGATCGTGGCGATTTGGCGATTTGTGGAGCTGGAGCAATGGGCCATCCAGTCCCCGGCGCCTCGGCTATAGAGCCGCCTTCATAAGACATTCATCTGGGTAAATTTCATCACGACCTCACTGTTCTCCCTCACTGGAAATCATGGTTTATTTGAGGGAAATGATCCCCAAATGGCCCAACAATTCAGGTTAGTGAACTATTATAATTTACCCAGATTCATTCCAGGATTCCACTGCTTGCGTCTTGACTCTTGGAGGCCAACGGTGTGGTCTCCATGCTGCCGTTTCTCGCCGCGGTTTGAGTTATGAAGAGACAACGGGGAACTGACAGCGGTCCTGTGACAGAAAAGCCGCTTTAGCCCAGGCCAATTGTGCATTTTCTTCCTTGACAGGTTTGCATCAGGCTTGTCACTGGCAGAAACTTCCGCAGCTATGGAAGCAGACAGGCCGGAAATCTGGCCAGGGTCTTCCGGTATACCCTCCGGTTTCATCAAACATGGCTAGCTGGACAATTTCTATATATATATATATAAATGGAGGGGGTCAATAGCAAATTCATCTCTAATTTTCCAGCCAGCCACGATCTTTGACCTGGACGAATTCCTTGGAGCCAATGATTGAGCCTCGGTCTTGGCGCAGGAGTAAGGACTTCTGCACGCAGCCAAGCCTGTTGCGACCACAGATCTGATTTTTAGTTGCCTTGGAAGGCTCAAACCATGATGACCATGGCCCATGGCTTTACTCCAGGTTTGAGTACAACTACTCCGATCCTTCACATCCAGATAGCAAGAGTCCGATCCTCCAGTCCTGCTGAACTTTCAGGCCTTCAAGAGTTTTCAACATGTTTCACACGGCAATGCAATGCAATGCACACTTCTGAAGCGTTCAGATAGTCACCAAATGCTCGAGATAAGTCTTCCTTTTTTCAACATGTCTTGTTTTCCCTGGGAGGATGATCTCAATTGATTCATATTCCTTCAAGGTACTGATTTGATTTGAATGGGGATTTCAGCCACCTACAGTTGTGCCACGGGCGTCCAAGGCTTCCAGTACTCGAACATCCAATGCACACGTTTGTGCGATGATGTCAGCCGTGACCTCGGGGATTGTTCGCCGCATGACCATCACCAAGGCCATGTTTCTTGCGAGTTGAAGGAAAAATCCGAGGGGACCACAGAATTTGATTAGAATTTGGCCATTTGTTTAGTTCATCAGATGATTTCAGATGTTTTTTCATGTTTACCACTCATGTTTACCATTGTTTACCGTGTTTAACAACCCTAAAACGGGTGCACTTGATCCATGCCTAACTAAGAACCGACGTTGCGCCAAGGTGCAGTTGGTGAGGCCTGCATCAACGAAGCCGAGCTGACTATGCTGGGTCCATAGATTTGACGCCCAAAACATCTCCTGCAGCATGCTGGAGTCATTGGATTGGTTTTGTTGGGAAAATCTACAGGAAACCATGGTTTTTACATGTTTTTACATGTTTTTAACCATTGAATATGGGGTTTTCCTTTAAATTTTCCCAACAAAACCAATCTATTGGAGCTAAGGGACTCAGCCACTGGAACGTTCATCCCCACCTTCTTTTCGGACGGGAGTAGCTGTGAAGTTCCGCCTTGGTGGCTGATTCTAAGAGTGGGCATTGCGCAGGACATGACCACAACTGGTTCTGGCAGCCCCTCACCTTCAAGGCGTTGTGTAAAAGATGTGATAGGAATCTGTTGAGTGAACATTGTAGGACATGTGTCAAAGTGTCAAAGTGTCAAACATTTTCAGGGACCCACATACTTTAGCAATTTGTGGTATCGATGATCCAAGCTTTTGGGTACTCAATTTTGGCAGACCCCCAAATGAAGTAACTTTATTCCATCGGATCCTCCCTCTATTTGAGACGATTGACTGTGATGAAGTCTGAACTCGGCCAGTCACTACTTCGTGCCGGGTATCGCTGCACTCAAGCTGGCTTTCAGTCAAGCTGGCTGGATTAACAATAGCCGGGTGAAATGGGCCCTGACTGAGGCTTATTGAGGGCTCATCCGGTGGCATATCTGAAATCATATCTGGCCATGATTGAGGGAATCTCTCACTGAATGGTCCAAGTCTAGAAAGTCATCGAGTCATCGTGAATATCAAAGCCAGCATGACAATTTTTAGCAACTACGACTTTGTACTCAATGTTTTACTCCTAACAATCATCCAGCCGTTGGCTTCAGGCTACTGGTGAAAAAATATCAGGCTCCATAGAAAACCCACAGAGGTTTCGCGTCGGTCAAGAAACCTTGATCCGATAGCAATGAATGCCATGACTCCTTTCTCACTGGCCATTCTGCTGCCCTGCTTTCACTCCACCTTTGCCTCCCAGGCCATGTCTGCCATGAAAATCTCATCATCAGGTGATGCCTTGCAGGAGCATCTCGCCCAGAACATCCATGAAGCGCAAAGTCTGCTGGCTGATGATAGTCACTACGATCAACCTAGCTCTTTTGGTCCCAATTCTGGCAACTTTGGCCCGGGAATCCCGGGAAGTGCCAACATGGGACCAGTGATGGCATCACCCCAGGCAGCACAGATGGGGGCGCAGGGCAAAGTGGACTTCGACTTGACAGCGTTCCAGATGTCCTTGCCATTGGATGCAGGAATTCGATTGGAATCTGATGATGGCGTGTGGTTCTCCTCAAAGGCAAAGTCGAGAGATGACAAAAACTACGATACAAACAGTGTTCTGAGTATTCCATTGAAAATCTACGACAAGATCACTGGAAGCGGGTGAGGTTTGGATCACTGTAGCATCCGCAGTAGGCAGAGGCGGGCTGAGGCAACCACAATCAAGGATGTACCATCCATATCTATTCACGCGCTTGCATTTTGAACATGCAGTTTCACAAGCGATTTCAGGAGTTGTGCCAGTGAAAAGCTGCCAGATCTGACTTTCTCAGCGCAGAAGATCCATCTGTAATGTGGTCCCTGAAAAATGGGGATTTCCCATGGCTTTTCTGAACAAAAATCTGATGAATCCCGAAGACATCTGGTGACAAAGTGGGGTCAGCGATAAGTGAAAAACAAACCCCATGAAAACATCCATTAACTAGACATAACTAGACTCATAGACTATACATATCCATGACTATAGCATACTATAGCCCTGCTATATCCTCCATCCATAAAGCCTCGCGACTGACTCCCCCGTGATCCCATGAGTTCAGCGCCAGGTCACAATTACTTCGTGCACCGCCCGGCCGACCTTCTTAGCGGAGCGAGGCACGAACAAATGTGTGAAGCGCTCGACCATTTTAGATGAAGAAATGTAGGAAAACGCAATGAAGAAATGATTTTTGACACGGGCCTATAACCACCATTCTATGATGTTTATATATGTTTATGGCCATTCCATGCCATTCCAATGTATTTTTCATGATCTTAATGGGGAAACATGATGATTCGATGTTACGACTCCCCAAACCCGGCTCATTTTTGTCCCAGAAGCGCGGATTCGGGTCGATTCTTGATCCGTGGCCATGCGTATGGGTCAAACTGGGATCTAGCCCAATTGAATCCATAGATATCCATAGATATTTATGGTAAACAAAATTGGAAAGAAGATGATTTTTGAGACAACCTGTAAATCAACACCTGCAAATTATATATTGGTTGATCACTTTGATTTAAATTACTTCGAGTATTAAATTAGAACATCCCTTGTGAAAGCGATGCATGTTTGGTCCATACCAGCATGTCTACTATTTATCGTCAACTTTTGCCCATCCTTATTAACTCATGAAGTTGAGGAGAGTAGCTCATGTGATTTACCAATGACTTGTGATGATTTGTTTAAATCGAACAGTGAAGTAGAGTCAGTATAGTTAGTCGTTTCCAATTTGGGCCTTCATTCAGAGCTCAGGTTGGCAATTTGGATCACATTTGCGCGCCCAACCCGCGCTGCCTTCCGTGCAGCCATTGGTGCAGCCATTTAGCATAGCTCCGTGACTCCGTGGTGCATTTTTTTCCCTCTCGGTAGCACAGCCATCCTAGTCATCCAGACTCTGTCTACGATGACAAGTCACGGTCATTGCCACGGCCAGGATGACCACCATACGGGTCATGGTGGGCACCAGCACAGTGGTCATGGGGGTCATGGCCTTACCACAGCTGTCACTGATGACACAGTGGATGATAGTGGTGATGATGAGTGTGGCTGCGGGATAGCACATGGCAATGGTGGCCATGATGATGACAGCAGTGAAGATGAGTGCGGCAGTGAATGTAGCGGACATGGCCATAGCCACGCAGGCCATGCGGGTCATGGTGGCCACGCTGGCCATGCTGGCCACGGAGGCCATGCTGGCCACGGAGGCCATGCTGGCCACGGAGGCCATGGAGGCCATGGAGGACATGGAGGCCATGATGACAGCAGTGAAGATGAGTGCGGCAGTGAATGTAGCGGACATGGCCATAGCCACGCAGGCCATGCGGGTCATGGTGGCCACGCAGGCCATGCTGGCCACGGAGGCCCTGCTGGCCACGGAGGCCATGGAGGCCATGGAGGCCATGGAGGACATGGAGGCCATGGAGGCCATGGAGGCCATGGAGGCCATGATGACAGCAGTGAAGATGAGTGCGGCAGTGAATGCGGTGGTCACAGCCATGGTGGACATGGTGGACATGGCCATAGCCATGGTGGACATGGACATGGAGGACACTCTCGTGGCGGAGATGACCACAGACATGGCCACGCACATCACCAGGTGATGGGCACCAAGAGCAAGGTCACTATTGAATTTGAAGAGACCAACTTAGATCACACCAACAGCAGTGACTCTGCGGGCAAATTTGATGACCCACTGAAGTTGGTCTTAAAATGTCTTAAACTTAAATGGGCTGCGTCCTAACCTTCCGACTTTTCATTCTTGAAGTTCCCGGGCTTCAAAATTGTCATTCCGAAGGTTCTTGGGCCTTCTAAGTTTCGGGTGCCAAAGTTGAGTTTCCTGCTCTTCAATTTTGTCTTGGCTTCTTGGGCTTCAGAAAATTGATTTTGCATGATTTTTCAGCTTGGAAGCTAAAATTGGCCCAAGACCGAATGGAGCCCAAACGGGGAAGGGACCCTGACCAAAAAAAAAGGGATCCTCAAAAATCATCAAAAAGAGTACGTAGTTAAAGATGACGTAAAATCAAAAGCTATGTTTTTTGACCCCAGCAGATTGCTTACTCGGCGAAAGGTTTTGAATGGTACTGTGTGCACCTTGCAAATGATTGGCATGGCAGAACTGCCATCCTTTGCACAAAGCAATATGCACTACGCGCTAAGGGCTTGAAACCCTTGATGCAATGGTTTATTTTCGGTTCTTCAGTGGCTTCCGATTTAGGGTTTACGTTTCCTATGCATTTGTTTTAGTTTCCAACTCACGCTTCTCGGTTTCCGATGCAGAGTTGTTAATTTCCGATTCACTGCCTGACCATCAATATGACTTAACAATGCCACCCAGCCTTCCCATTTATAGATGATTGTCCCAGCTAGAAACCTCCATTTAGAAACCAGGGATTTTCCAGCCAGCCATCTTTGATGATTTGGATCTTGCAAGTCTTCTGAGGCAAATTGGATTTGTCGAAGTCAAAGACCCTTCGATCAACAGGCACCTGTCTTCTGGCAGCACTTGGCAGCACTTGGCAGCACTTGGCAGCACTTGGCAGCTTGTTGATGAGAGCTATATAGGTTGACACTGTATGACACTGTTGACACTTCATGCATGCTGAATGTCCATGAATGTCCTCTTCAGGTGAGTCAAATCCATTCAATGCATGTTGATGACATGGCTCCAGATGTTGTTGCGCATTGTTCACGACGATGATATATTTTTGAGATGGCAAGAACTGTCGCGATTCCTAGCAAATTTACACAATTTGAGCAAATCGACATACCTTGCCATTTCTTCGGGGTTTTTCGAAGACATCGGCAAGCACCTGCAACCGTTACCTCTCAGTTGCCAGAAGTCGAACATCATTTATGTCTCTATCAGCAATGTTCTCCCAAAGCCGCTTGGATCTGCAATGACAACCTGCCGAAAAAGAGGGCACTGGTTAAGAAGATCGTTGGAAAGCTTTTCCAATGGCATTGCCATCATGAAACACGCCCAATTGGAACATCCTCAATTTGACTTGGGCTCAATCCTGATTGTGTTCCATCGACACTCCGGCGCTGAGGAAGGAGTGGAAGCATCAGAAGTTTCTTTCTCCCGGAGGAAGTCTGTTCTGCGTGCTGCGGCCACGGCCAGCCAGAGCTTTGTTCAATGAGAGGTTGCCGACCGCACGAATCTGTGAAGACGAGGCCAGTGGGCCCCAGGGGGCCCCAGGGGGCCAGGATGCCAAGTGATGCCAGAATGCGACTTCCAGCGACGAACGAAGCAACATTCTAAGATGTATTTTTAGCACATTTGAAATCATTTGAATACATTTGATGTACTGGTATTTGCTTATAACTTATGTTACTTATGTTGGTAAGCTATGGCAAGCTGTGGTAAGGTGGCATGGGCTGCCCTAAGCCAAAACCCCAGCCTCCTGTTGGACAAAGGCTGAGTGTTCGCAACATCTGCTGCGATGCGGAAGTTCGGCTCATTAAGCGAATCGTTGAGCCCATGAACGGTGTGGATAGTGTCTCAGTGAACCCCTTCTCCAAGATTTGCGCCGTGGAGCCTTGGATTTCTGACTGAGAGGATGACAGGGTGCCTGACAGAAGAGGACAAGGATTGGAGGAAATCATCCAAGAATATCCAAGACTAAGAATTAAGAGTACTCTAAAAGTAAAGATATTTCAAGAACATTTTGACTCTGAAACGAAGTGCACATGGCAACCAGCGCCTCAGCTCTCCTGTGTTGACTGACTCTACTATGTGGCTTCACTTTCTTATTTTTAGAGTACTTTCAAATATTCATCTTATAGGGTTTGCAATCTGTTAACCCTTATTTTTTCTATCTCAAGTAGGGCTTAAACAGATTTAACATGATTTAAGCATTAGCCGCGACAAAACCATCGTTTTCACATCGCTTCAAACTGTGGGTAACTGAGGTGCATTGCCCCGTGACTTGCTGTTCCTCACCCGAGTCCATTTTGGAAAAGCTGAATGATGCAGGCCTTGGCGCGGCTCTCATCGGCAGCTTGGAATGAGACGGACCGGA